CGTCGCCTGCCCGGACGCCTAGATGCGGAAGACAGCATGCACGGGAGGGCGACGATCTCCGCCCGCGAGATCGACGATCTCCGCCCGCGAGATCGACGATCTCCGCAGACTCGCTGACCGAACCAGCGGCGGAACAGCGCCCCCGCCGAGCCTGCTCGGTCGAACGCCTGCAAGCGCACACTCCGCCCCCCACTCGCCCTCACTTGACGCGCCGCCGCAGCCCCACTCGCCCGTGTGTCCATACCTGTAAATGAGGAGGGCTGCCTGCTACCACCAGGCCTGGGACGACCTCTGCGCCGACGTCTACGCGCAGCCCGTCTGCGAGGCCATCGCGCGCGTGCACGGCGCGAGATTCTCCGATATTCTCCGAGATTCTCCGAGATTTCCCGAGATGAGCCCGTCTGCGAGGCCATCGCGCGCGTGCTGCACGGCGCGCGCCCACCGCCCGCCGACCACATGGCGGCTTCCATGAGCCCACAGTCATGCTGGCGACACATGGCGAGCCGCCGCGACCGCCGCGCAGCCGCGAGAGCCGGCGTCTCACCAGCCGTCTCCTACGCCCACCTGCAGGTGCCACCCGTCCCCTACCCCCACGGTACCCGAATCCATCCCCCTACCCCCGCGGTACCCGAACCCAGCTCGTCGCCCACCGGCAGGCGCGAGCCCTGGAGGGGGGTGGGGCTCCGCGCCGCCCGCAGCGCGCCTTCGCTGGGCGCGCCTTGGCTGCCACAAGTACCTCCCGCCGGGAACCAGCCCGCCGCCGCCGCCGCTGCCGCCGAGGCGGGTCGCGCCGCCGCCGACGACGCGTTTTGGCGGCGGCAGTGGCGAGGGCGGCGGCGAGAGCGGCGAGAGCGGCGGCGGCGAGAGCGGCGGCGGTGGCGGCGGTGGCGGCGGTGGCGGCGGTGGCGGCGGCGGGAAGATGCACTGCGTCGCGCCGAGCGGCGGCGTGCTGCTGCTGCTGGTATCGGATAGGTCGCCGAACGAGTCTCTCGTGTGCCACTACCTGGGAGCTGCGAGCAGCGCCTCTCTTCACACCTGCGGCTGTGAGCAGGCCGAACCAGTTCCTATGCCACTACCTGTCGTCGGCGATGGTGCACGGGCTGAGGCGGGAGATATGGGGAGATGTGGGGAGATGTGGGGAGATGCGGGGAGATGTGGGGAGATGTGGGGAGATGTGGGGAGATATGGGGAGATGTATGGGGAGAGGGCGATGGTGCACTGGCTGAGGCGCGAGGAATGGGGAGGTATGGGGAGATGTATGGGGAGAGGGCGATGGTGCACTGGCTGAGCCGGACGCCGCGTCTGGGCGGGGCACAGCCCCGACTTGTGGCTGGCTGCTGACCGCGCGCATGTTGACCGCCCCTCCTCCGATTGGCTGCTCAGGCCGCCGACTCTACCTCGACAGGGACCTCCCCGCCTCGTGATGTCGCGACTCACTAGCTCCTCGCGCATGGCTCAGGCCGACCCTGCTCGGCTGGGACAGCGGCTCGTGGCTCGGCGGAGGCTCGCCCCCCTAGACGCGGAGATATGGGGAGATATGGGGAGATATGGGGAGATATGGCTCGGCGGAGGCTCGCCCCCCTAGAAGCGGAGATATGGGGAGATATGGGGAGATATGGGGAGATATGGGGAGATATGGCTCGGCGGAGGCTCGCCCAGCTAGACCACCTAGAAGCGGGCTACGTACTCCAACCAGCACTCGAGAGGACGCGCATTCCACCGTTATGCCGCCGTATTCCGCTGTACTCACGGCACTCGTAGCCCCTCGTATTCACGCGGTGCTCTGAACACGCTGCACAAGACCGCCTCCCCGCCCTCATGCCGGCGTGTTCAGCACGTAGGCTGCCCATATCTCCCCATATCTCCCCATATCTCCCCATATCTCCCGCCCTGAGGTCGGCGTGTTCAGCACGTAGGCTCGCCCAAGCCGTGGACGTTCCACCTCGGCGCCGCTCGTCTTGCCGCTCCCTCGCCGTCTGCCGTGCCGAGACTCTCCCCGTAGACACCTCCGAGACACCTCCCCAGGCGCCAAGCTCGTCCTGCCGCTCCACTACCTCGCCGCGTGCGGCTACTCCAACGACACGCTCGTCGTCTTCACGGACCACGACGTGCTCTTCCAGGGCGGCGCCGCGGCGCTGCGCGAGGCATACCGCGCCGCCGCCGCCGCCTCAGGCTCGACCTCACCACATCTCCCCACATCTCCCTTCATCTCCCCACATCTCCCCCACATCTCCCTTCATCTCCTCACATCTCCCTTCATCTCCTCACATCTCCTCACATCTCCCCCACATCTCCCCACATCTCCCTTCATCTCCTCACATCTCCCCCACATCTCCCCACATCTCCCCCACATCTTCCCACATCTCCCCACATCTCCACATATCTCCACATATCTCCTCACATCTCCCCCACATCTCCCCCACATCTCCCCACACCTCCCGCTCCAGCCCCTTCCCCCTCGCTCCAGCCCCTCCCCCCTCGCTCCAGCCCCCCCACTCCCGCCTCAGGCTCGCACCTGCTCTTCTCGACCGAGCACCATATCTCCCCATATCTCCCCATATCTCCCGCCTCAGGCTCGCACCTGCTCTTCTCGACCGAGCACCATATCTCCCCATATCTCCCCATATCTCCCGCCTCAGGCTCGCACCTGCTCTTCTCGACCGAGCACCATATCTCCCCATATCTCCCCATATCTCCCGCCTCAGGCTCGCACCTGCTCTTCTCGACCGAGCACCAGCCTTACCCGGAGGAGGTGGGCCCGCTCTTCCCGCCAGCGCCAGGCGCCGCACTCGCTTCCGGTCAATCCTAAGCTCGGAAGTGCGGCCGGAAGTGCGGTGTCGGAAGTGTGTGTCTGCCCGTCTCTCAGGTGCCTCCCCCTTCCGCTACCTCAACTCGGGCATGTGGGCCGGGCGCCCGCCTAGTACCGCACCTCCAGAGTACCGAACCCAGTGTGGGTTCAGTCCCGTGGGTGGTGCGGTAGGCCCGTCGGCGCCGTGCTCGAGCTGCTGCAGACGCTGGTGGGCGTGCGTCGCGGCGAGTCGCTGCCCGCGCTGCTCGACGTCTACCTCAACTGGGAGCGGCACACTGCGCGCGCTTCGCCGACGCCGCGCGTCTACGTCGACAACGACCAGACCGCGTACGCCCGGCTCTTCGTGTGCCGCAGCTCCTCGCGAGATGACCCGAGATCACCCGAGATCACCCGAGAGTAGGTACGCTTGCCTCTTCGTCTCGCAGCACCTCGCGCGTGCGTGCGGCGCGAGGGGCGGGAGTACCAGGCGGCCGCGCGAGAGTAGCCGAGAGGAGCCGAGAGGAGCCGGGAGGAGCCGAGAGTAGCCGAGAGGAGCCGAGAGGAGCCGGGAGGAGCCGGGAGGAGCCGAGAGTAGCCGAGAGTAGCCGAGAGTAGCCGAGAGTAGCCGAGAGGAGCCGAGAGGAGCCGAGAGGAGCCGAGAGGAGCCGAGAGGAGCCGAGAGGAGCCGAGAGGAGCCGAGAGGAGCCGAGAGGAGCCGAGAGGAGCCGAGAGGAGCCGAGAGGAGCCGAGAGGAGCCGAGAGGAGCCGAGAGGAGCCGAGAGGAGCCGAGGGTAGCCGAGAGGAGCCGAGGGTAGCCGAGAGGAGCCGAGGGTAGCCGAGAGGAGCCGAGGGTAGCCGAGAGGAGCCGAGAGGAGCCGAGAGGAGCCGAGAGGAGCCGAGGGGAGCCGAGGGGAGCCGAGGGGAGCCGAGAGGAGCCGAGAGGAGCCGAGAGGAGCCGAGAGGAGCCGAGGGGCGCGGGTAGGCGGCCGCGCGTCGGCGGCCGCGCGCGCTGCGTCACCTGCCCGCATGACGGGCAGCGCCGCTGCGTGCGCGCCAACGGGTCGCCCGACTGCAGCGCGGGGGGGGGGCGGCTGCTCGGCGTGCGGCTCGGCCTTGACTACTCGCTGCGCCTCTTCGAAAACATGTTCAAGGCGCGCCTCGGCATACGCCTCGGGCGAGGGAGGGAGGGCGGCGACTCTCGGCCGTACTCTCGGCGCGAGATCTGGATCTCGGCGCGAGATCTGCATCTCGGCGCGAGATCTGCATCTCTCCTCAAGGCGGGAGCGCATCGCCTCGAGGGCGGCACGCTGCGGCACAGATCCTCTGGTGCGACGCCGCTCGCGGTGCACTTCAACGGCCCAGCAAAGGTGAGAGGCAGCCGAGAGGCAGCCGAGAGGCAGCCGAGAGGCAGCCGAGAGGAGCCGAGAGGAGCCGAGAGGAGTCCAGCCACACGCGGCCAGAGATCTCGAGTGGTCTCGGGTGATCTCGAGTGATCTCGAGTGATCTCGGGTGATCTCGGGTGATCTCGGGTGATCTCGAGTGGTCTCGGGTGATCTCGGGTGATCTCGAGTGATCTCGGGTCATCTCGGGTGATCTCGAGTGAACGCCCACCTCCAGATCGCCTACCTCCCGGGCCCCGCGCCTGACGCCCGCGCGCGCGCCCCGGCCGTCGCCAAAGGTGGTGCACGATGCCGGCTGGAGGCTGCCGCAGTGGGGCGGCAAGCCCGACATGCCGCGCCAGCTGCGCAACGCCCTCTGCGCGTCGCTCCCCGCCGCCGAGCGCGCCGCCGCCGACGCGCGCTTCGCGTCGCACGTGACGTTTCTCGACCCGACTTTCCGACGCGTGAGCGGAGGCATCGGCCATCTCAACTCGACCTGCTTGGGCGTCGTAGCAGCTTGACGAGCTGAACGGCGGGTGCGCGCGCGGCAGTCGTGGCGGGTGAAACTGCAGCGGCGTGTCCAGTGGCGAGAGAGGGAGCAGCAGCGCGGTGGTGGCTCTGACGTCTCTGCCTCTGGCGGCGAGGCCCGAGGCGCGGCCGCGGCGCCGGCGGGCGGCGCCGCGAGCGCGGCGGGGTGGGGACATTTTTCGCTTTGTTGCAATGCAGGAGCTGTGAGACCTGTATGTACGTGGAGGAGTTCGTCCAGTTCCATGGTAAGTACGAAGAACACAAAACAACCACTCGCTCCGCCCCACGCGCCGGGCCCCGCCGCGGGTCCCGCTCCGCGCGCTCGTCATTAGGCAGTGGACCGGGTTATCGCCGGCGCGCCTCGATCGGACGGATATTCTCACACAGCGGGCGGCGGCCGTGTCTCTCGCGGTGCATGCACCGCTGCCACGCCCTCGGTCACACACAAATGCAGCCTCCCCCCTCCTTCCAACCCACGCAGAACCTCTCTGCTCTGCAGCAGCCGGCGCGGTGGATGCCGTGCTCGCGCGGTCTGAGGCGGCTGCAGCGCGTCAGTAGTTAAGGTGGTCGCCCCACCCCTCCGATGGCCGCACGCCTCGCGGGCCCGCTGCTGGCGCGGGGGCTGCGCGAGCACTCGCCACTCCCGCCGGCGGGATGTAGTCGGATTTGTGGTCGCCCCACTCCATCGTAGGAGGGGTAGGGGGGACCCGCATGCCCGAGCGCCTGTCGGCCGTCGGCGCGACCACACCGCGCACCGAGAGCGCCGCCTCGCCCCTGCCTGCAGAAGCACCGGGCAAGCCGAGCCCCTGCTTGGAGAGCCACGCACGCTTGGCCGCCTCCTCGGCGGCGTTCATGCGGACAAAGGTGCGCGTGGGCGCGGCTGCGGCTGCCTGTGGCTGCAGCCTGGAATGGGCCGGGACGAGGCCGGCGGACGACATCGCGAGGGCGAACATCTGGCCGGAGAGGGAGTTGATCAAGTTGCGCAGCTCGGGCTATCTCTGCCCTTCGACGGCTTTGCACCGCGAAAGAATTCAACCTTGACTTTTTCGGTCTTCTTCGTTGCCACCACTGCCGTGAAACTAGCAGTCTACCCGAACGGTCGCGGGGGGGCGGGAGCCGCGCGAGATCGCGAGGGTGTCGAGGGTGAGCCTCTGGGGGGGCGCGGGGGCCCTAGGAACCCAGTGAATACAGCGGAATAAATACGGTCGGAATGCAGCTGAACACGTGTCCTCTCGAGCGCTGCTAGGAAGACATGAATCCGCATTCCGCGTCTAGGCTCGTGCGCCAGCAAGCGAACGCGTCGCGCGGGGCCACGTCCGGCCGGACCGCGAGCACGTCTCGTACTCACGCCCTGACATTGGCGTCACATCCCAGGATCGTGCTGCCCCTCCACGCGTCGCTGCCGGTCGAGGCGCAGGAGCGTGTCTTCGACGTGCCGCCGCAGGTGCACGCTCCACACCGCCTGTCCGCGCGACACATACACCGACGGCACACCTCTATGCTGATGCTGTAAAGTGTCTGCACACACACACACACACACACACACACACACACACACACACACACACACACACACACACACGCACACACGCACACACGCAAACACGCAAACACGCACGCACGCACGCACGCACGCACGCACGCACGCACGCACGCACGCACGCACGCACGCACGCACGCACGCACGCACGCACGCACGCACGCACGCACGCACGCACGCACGCACGCACGCACGCACGCACACACGCACGCACACACGCACACACGCACACACGCACACACGCACACACGCACACACACACACACAGCCACAACTCCTCCCGGGAAGGGCGAGGGGTCCAGCCGCCTCCTCCGCCGCAGGGCGTGCGCAAGGTCGTCCTCGCCACAAACATCGCCGAGACCAGCGTCACCATCGACGGCATCCGCTTCGTCGTCGACTCCGGCGCCGTCAAGGAGATGAGCTGCTGCCGTGCTGGGTCTCGCGCGCGTCCGCCGAGCAGCGCAAGGGCCGCGCGGGAGACGCACCGGCCCCGGCACGTGCTTCCGCCTCTACGCGCAGGCGGAGCTCCTCTCCCTGCGCGACTCTTCACCCTCACCCTCACCCCCACCCTCACCCTCACCCTGAGCCTTGTATCAAAGCCGACCCTAAGCGCCATCCCTCCTGCCCTCACCTGATGCTGCTTCCCCGCGCCGCCTCCTTGGCCCCCCTGGGCGTATTTTCTACTCCCAGAGGGGGGGCTGAGCCCCGGCCCCCCCCTTGTTTTCTGTTTTTTTGTTTTTCAACACGCCCGCCCGCCCGCCACCCCGGAGGCGGCTCGGCCCCCCACTTACCGAGAAATCAAAAACGGACGGCCTCGGCATGGAGGCGGACGCAGAGCCGGATGTCGGTTAGAGGGATGCTTTTGTGGTGCTGGTGGGTGGGGTGCCAGTGAAAGGACGAGAAGGGAGAGAAATAACGGACATTCTCATTACTCAGCACTGTGTTTCAACGCGGGCCCGACGCGCGACGGCGCCGGGCACCGCCTCGCCCTCGGTCGGTGGATACAAGGAAGATCCTGCCCTCGGACCCAGACCCTCCACAGAACACAGCTTCACCAGCTCACAGCGGTCAGCGCTCCCAGTTCACCTAACACTCGGGGCGCATAGACGTGGCACGGACGGGGCAGCGGGCGCTCACCCCAGAGAGGAGTCAAACCTCACCTCCCGCGCCGGATCGGCATCACTAAGGTCTAAGCAGCCCACAGCAGACGTCCTCCTTTTAGGGTATTGCAGGCGCGCGCAGGTAGCAGCGCGAGGAGTTCAGCATCCCGATCATACGCATGATGGCTCCAATGATTGAAGCGATCGCGAATCTTGCTGCGTAGTGGTCCGCCTTCGTCAAGACAGGCCTTGATGAAGCAAGCAAAGATTTTCAAGACGTCGCGGTGGAAGAACTCCTCCCGCGAGCCGGGGCTGTAGTTGATGGTGCTTTGCAGGCGTTCGCGTTGGCAAGTCGCACCAACATCGACCGCTGAGGGCGCCCCTTCTGACTCGGACCTCACACAGAAGAACGATTCGGCTGTTGGGCCCGGGAGCTCTTCGGGGGGCATAGCATCCGCGCTGCAATGCGCTCGTATCCGGGTTGTTGCAAGGCGAAACTCCGTCCTTCACTCTCTGCTCGCTCCGCCAGAATCGTGAGCAACCCCTGTTCCGTGGGGAAGAACCCGTCTCGCAAATACGACCGCAAGGCGAGCACGTACGCATCGTAGAAGGCAGCATAGCTTCTCCGATTGAAGATCATGACCGTGGCGACAACTTCCTTCTTATGCACTCCCCAAGCGTTGTAGAGCAGCTGCAACTGCGGCAGCCAACGCGCCCGCAACGAAGATATGGAAAACGCTGCGAACTGTGTTTGAACGGGATTGAGACAGCTGACGCACTCTTCAAAGCCATGCCACGTATGGCGGAAGAGACCGGCGTCGACCCATATCAGTCGTTGACCAACGCCTTTGCGTACGGTGCTAGCAGACTCAGCACGCCGCAGCATCTCAAACTTGGCATGCGTCACCAGCCTGTAGATCGCCGTAGTGTTCGCAGGTGTCTTGGCGTAGAAGGTCTTGGCTGGGCGCCCATCACGCCGACGCATGGCAGTCACCACTGCGGTGGTCTCGGCACGAGGGTCCGAGAAGGCCGTCAGGGTCGACCCGATGCCGTCCAGGGAGAGGTGCCGCACCTCGACCGTGCTCGGAAACCGCGCCTTGAAGTCCGCGCAGGCGTCGCCGCAAAGGAAGACCAAGGTGCACCCCGCCCCGTGAAGCACGCCTGCCAGCTTTGCCGCCGCCTCGACATACCCTGATCGCGAATCGCGGAACGGTCCCATATCAAAGAAGCCGGACACGAAGACATCCTGGCATTGGCACTGTGGTCCCCTTGGAGAGCTCTTCTCGCTTGACTCTAGCCTGTTACTCTTGTCCGTCCTTTCAAAACCCGTTCCCTGCGGAGCAGCTTTGGTGCAGGCCACATCGTTGTCGTGCTCACACGGCCGCCTCTGCCTTAGAATGGCTGGCATGCAGCACTGCGCCGAACCTCCTGGCCGCGAGGAGCAGCCGCTGCCGCCGCACGCGCCACAAGATGCGTTGCAGCAGACCTGGCCGGAGGCGTGCTCAATGCCAGCCAGGCAGAAGCGGCGCGCAGGGCCATCTGACGGCAGGACAGCAGGGCCATCTATCGGCGGGACAGCAGGGCCATCTGGCGGCAGGACAAGCTCGGGTGTCTGCTGCTGGCTAGCTATCGTGGGCCGTGGACTTGGAATGGAATCTGAGGGGGGGTTCAAGTAGCGTGTCGAAGTGAAGTAATCGCGAGGGAAGAGGTACAACGGCATGGGGAGCTGTAGTAAGCCCTGCAGCGGCTGCAGCTTGAGTCGCGAGAAGAATTGGACCCGCGTGAGCGGCACCTTTGGACCTAGCGGGCCCTCGTTCCGGACCTTGACCATACGCAGCCCATCCATCCGGTCGACGTCGCCATGGGGCTCACTGATGGAGGAGCCGTGCATGAAATGGATGATTGGTGCGGACGGCTGCAGGAACTGGGGCGGAGCGGCGGCTGTCTGTAAAGTGCCGTACGGCAACAGCTTTGCGTGCTGCTGGATCGAACTTATGTTTTGGCTCCACAGCCGGTTGATGCATGCCTGCTCCCATGGGAAATGCCGTAAGAAGAAGGCGCAACGAGACGTCTCTGGCTGTGTTTCGGCGCTTGTCATGCGACGTAAGAATGCGCGCGTGTAGGCTGAATTGCGTACCACCATCACACCGGTGTTGATAAGCTGGTTACTCGGCCGGTCGCCCGAAAACAATAAGTCTGGGCCGTGACTGCTAGTGATGCCGTGCGTCTCGAGCTGCAACCGGAGCTGGTTGCCATTCTCGTGCAGAAGTGCCGCGTCAGCGTCGAGCCAGATCGCAGCGTCCACGGTCGTGCCGTTGACACCGCGTGACAGGACCTGCTCCAACAGGCCTAGCCGCTGCCAGGCGGGAGCACGGTCGTGCTGGTATATGGTGCTGCTGGACACAAAGGCGTAGCCAAACTGTGCGGCAAACCTGCGGTTGCTCTCCGCGGCGATGCTAGCAAAAGCAGCAGCCTTTGCGTCGTACCACATGCAGATGGCGATACGAGGAGCCCGCTTAGTTGTTGGGACCATGGTTGGGACGTGCAGAGGAGATAGTGGAGAGGCAGCGCCGGCCAGCGCGGGCTGGTGGTCGACACCCGAGTTGGCTTCCACTGTTTTGTTTTAACCCTGGTGGGTGGATTGTCCAAAATACGTCAGCCTCGCACGCCTAGAGCTAGGTCTGACACCCGACCGCCCCCCCCTCCCTAATATTAACCGGCGAGAGCACATTTTGGCCGGCTAATGTTAGGGAGGGGAGGCCAAAAAACGCATACTTTTGTCCACCTACCAGGGTTAATCAGCTGGACCGAATTTTACCAAGTTGGACGCCGTTGGACGTATCCAGTGTTTAGTGTCTACGTGCAGCGACGGGCGGCTGCGCGATAGCTGCTTTGTCGGTCCCGTGAGCCAAGTCAGCGTCGGGCTGGCTACACGTTCGCTCGCCGTGGTCACAAGCCATCGAGGAAGCCACCCTACCAGGACCACAATCGCGTTGCGGATCAGGTTTGTGACCCTGGCGGTGGCGAGCCTTTGGCGCACAGCGTAAGCATGCCAGCACGACTCGCATCAGGGCTGCACCCGTCGCCGAGCACCTCGTGCACTCTACATGGATCGGGTGATGCCACGAGCCCGCTGCGCGGCTGCACCGAGTGGCTCTCTGTGGCAGGGAATGCACTTTTATGCCACATGATGGCGTTGCCTCGCAGCATGCCGAGTGGGCCTTCTGTCTCTGAGGAAGAACCGAAATGCAAATTCGCGCCTTGCCGATCTCCGAGTGGTCAACCGGAGAGGTCTGTGGACACGTGTGCAAGCGAGGCAGCCGCAATCGGCGCGTCTCTGGCATCTGCGTGGTGAGCACCCTGGCGGTATGCGTGCGCAGCAGCCTCAGCGCAGGGCCAGATGACGTGTCCGGTCGGAGGTGGAGCGCTACCAACGGCTCGAGAGGTTCCTCGCGGGTCGAATTCCGTCCACGCGCACGCGTCGGGGACCCGCTCAGCAGCACCGAGGGGTATCTGTCGCGTCACAGCTATCGTGTGCTGCAGCATCCGGCAAACCAGTGCCGGCTACTGGCCACCATCGATACAGGCTACTGGCCACCATCGATACACGGAGAACCGCTCGCACGAGTCAGCCCAGAGGCGATCGATGGGCGGGAGAGGCCTCTGGCACAGACATACAGCTCGGGCCCGACAGATGGCGCGAGGGGGCGATCTCGCGCGGGTCCAACTTTGGCCTGTGTGAGGGCGTGAAGAGGAGAAGGGTGGGATGGGAGGACGGCAAGCCGCCACCACACAGGGATATTAAAAAATCCTCTGGCCCAAGCACTTGGAGCACTTGGAGTGCAGTCATTAGCCTCACATCCAGGGCCGGGGAGCTAAGAAGCGCACCCAGCGGGCCGGATGATCGGGATCGGGTTGCGGGCAAGAGAGCCCTAGCCCCGGTTAGGGGTGGATTTTTGTTTTTTTGCGGCGCGTCTCACGGTGTCCTGAGAAGCCCAACGCGTGCATTTACCCCAATGCGTCTGCTCCTGTACCTCGCGACGCACCTGAGCGATGACCACGCTGCTTGCCTGACGTGCTGGCCCGCGATGCTCGCGCACGCGCCGCTGCTCCGCACCGCCGACGTTCTGGTGTATGCTGGCGGCCCTGCGGCCGCGGTGCCGGCGGCGCGCCTCAGCTGGCAGAGCATCGTGAACGCGCTCCCGAATCGGAACGCCACAATCTTCTTCTCCGTTTTCAATCCAGGCTACCAGGACGGCGCCAAGTACGCCATGCACGTCGCTCTGACGAGCGGCTGGTTCGATGCGTACGAGTGGGTCGTGCGCATCAACCCGGATGTGATGGTGTTTGACGAGTCAAGGCTAACACTGGCGATGGCGGGACTGTTCGGACCGTCGCCGGGCCGGTACGAGGGCGTCTTCGCCTCGTGCAGGCGCAACAAGCCGTGCTACGGCCGGGGGTGCGAGCACGGCCTCATCCAGACGGGTGCGTCGCTCGCTGCAGTGCCCCAGCCGCACTCTCCCGTGCACACTCGTCTCTCGTCACGGCCTGGCTCCACGCGACAGCACGCACGGACGCACACCGCTCCCCCCTCTGCGCGCCTCGGGCAGACGTGCTCGCGGTCCGGCCGGACGTGGTCCCGCGCGACGCGTTCGCTTGCTGGCGCACGAGCCTAGACGCGGAATGCGGATTCATGTCCTCCTAGTAGCGCTCGAGAGGACACGTGTTCAGCTGCATTCCGACCGTATTCCGCTGTATTCACTGGGTTCCTACCCGCTGTACTCACGCGGTGCTCTGAATGCTCTGGTGTACGATACCGTACTCCCGGCCTGATGTCGGTGTATTCGGCACGTAGGAACACCACCTCGTGTCTGTGGAGAAGTTTACGTTACCGTACCTTACGTAGGAACTCGAGCGTGCCTCGCAGCGACCCCGAGTGCGGCTTCGCGCGGAGTGGCGCCGAGAGCCACGCCGAGGAGCAGGCGACGCGCGCCTTCCGCCCCATCGTGCAGGCGCGGGCCCACAGTGTACGGAGATGGCGTCCACAGGAGCCCACAACGCCGTGCGCTCACTCTCCCTCTCTTGCTGCCGCCGCAGCGGCGGGCGGACGCCTGGCTCAACCTCAACCACACGTCTGGCTCCCTCTGCCGCATCAACACGGGCGCGGGCCGCGCCGTCGCGTGAGACGCACCCCCTTCGTCTCGCTCCGAGTCGGCCGGATGGCTGTAGGCGGGTTGCGGCACCTGGATACGCACAAACGGCCGAGCGACCGGCTGCTCTGCGCAAAGGCTTGCCCAGTGTGGAAGGCGGCCGACCCGTGGCAACGATTTGTGGAGCTCAGCCAGCACCTCGCGAGGAAGAGGGCGGCGAAGAAGGCGGCGGAGTCGAGCGGCGGGCCGGGCACGGACGGCGCGGTGAGGCGCGCGCGGTCCGCAGGCGCAGCGCATAGGGCGGCGAAGAAGGCGGCGAGGAAGCTTGCGCGAAACGCCGCTCCGGAGTGAGCGGCTTGCGTGGAATACGCGGCTGCTACGGGCACGCATTCCCTTTTCTAACAAAATGTTGGCCACCCGGCTGTTTATTTATCACTCACATAATCATAAACACAGATGAAAAATGAAATACCGGCAGAGCGGATAATCGATAAAAGAGCCGTAATAGCGCGGTGCCGCGCGGTCTCGGCACTCGGGTTTCTCGGGTCTCGGTCTGGCCGCACAGGCCGGGGTCCACAGGAGTCGCACTCGCACGTCTCGCAGCTAGCGGTTAGAAGCTCAAGAAGGCGCAGCGCCTCAAGCAACGCTCAAGCGCGGCGCGCAGGCAGTCCGCAGAGCCGCCCCCGTGTCCAGCCCCAGGGCTTGACCACGGTAAAACAATGCTCGCCTACCCATCTCCGTTCTAGCCTGCCTATCCCAGCTCTAGCCTAGCCAACCAATATTCATCGGCCCACGCCACCAGGCTCTGGCTACGCGCTGTGTGTGTGTGTTTGTGTGTGTGTGTTTGTGTGTGTGTTTGTGTGTGTGTTTGTGTGTGTGCGTTTGTGTGTGTTTGTGTGTGTGATGGCCGACCGTAGCGAGGAGCATGCCGCTGTACGGCGCCTTCTTGACCGCCGGGTGGCACAGCAGCTGTCTGGCGACGTTGGTTGGCAGGGGCGGGCTGAGGAGCGCCGCCCACGAGCGCTCCATGTAGTGGCCCTCCTCGAGGTTGTCCGCGCGGCTGAGGGACTTGGCCAGCGCGGCCCAGTCGGCCGCCGACACGCGCAGAATCTGCTCGCGACGCGCCGCAAAGCTGCCGCCGTAGCAGACCGGCCACACCTCGCGAGCGCGGAGCTCGCTGTACGTCGGCTGTGACAGCACCGACGCCAGCCACGCGCCGATCGACTGGGTGGGCGAGTTGAAGGTGGCGTTGACGGGAGCGCCCCCGCGGAGCCGCTGCGTGTGTTTCTCCTTGTAGTTTCGGAGCACGAACGCCTCGAGGACGGCCCGCTCATGCCACTGCGACCCATTGCCCGCGGGGCCGCAGTGCGGGGGGGCGCGGCCGCACGAGAAGCCGCGCGTCCTCAGCTCCTGCGCCATCTGGACCGCCGACCGCTCGTACTTCTTGAAGTCGTGCCCGCCGTAGTGGAAGGAGCTGTCCTTGAGGAAGAAGACCTGCCCCGGAAGGCTGTGGTGCCGCGTCGCGAGGTACTCGGCGTAGACTTGATCGTTGCGGCCCAAGTTGGGCAGCGTGTGCAGGTGGGCGCCTGCGCGGAAGGGCAGGAGGAGGAGGGTGCGGGGTGGCGGGTGGCGGTCTGGTGGTGGTGTGTGTGTGGGGGGGGGGGGGCACAGCTGGTGAAGGCTGCGTGCGACCAAGAGAGGGTTTTGCGGGCCGAGGGCGGTGGAAGCGGCGTCGGGTGCGCGCCCGCAGGGGCGCCAATCGGCGCGAGGCCGCACTTGGAGTAGATGTGCACGTCGATCACCTTGGTGCCGAGAATCGCGAGCGAGTCGATGGACGGCTGGAGCCAGCTGAGGTCCTTGGTGCAGTGGGACGCCACGATCTCGGCGTCGCTGCCGGGCACGATTTCCGCCCCCGCGAGCATACCCGCCTCGATAGCGGCGACAGGTCTACACGTGCCACCCCGGGGCAAGGTGGAACTCGGTCGTATTGCCGACTCCATGCTCTTGCTACACATTGACATTGGTGGAATCTTCTATGCTTGTGAGACGCCGGAAACAAAAGAAAACGCGCACAGTGCGCGGACAACTTTGGGTTCCGCCGACGGGCGCACCAGTGTAGCAAGGAGATCCGCTGTAGAGCGCGATTTTGCTGTAGAGTTTGTTGTATACTCCGCCACATCGAAAGTGGGAGGACGAAAACTCAGCCTTGAGTTCTCAGCGCCCTCACGGCCCGCCAATGGCAAACCCGACTCCCTCCATCCGTGTGGCGCCGCCCGATGGTGCCGGGAACCCTATTCCGGAGCGATTCCCCCTAGGGTTAGCGCAGAAAAAGCCGGGCCCCTTAGCTCCGGCTAGGGCTAAGGGGCCTCCGCAATGTCTCGAAATGGCCAGCAGGCGCTGTCTGCTCGCGGTCTGTGCGGGCCGCTCGTCCTCCTCGCCCTTCTTTCGTCCTCCCGTCCCTCCCCTCCACCATGGCCTTCTCGGCACTTCTTTCTCCATCCGCCTCGCCCTGCCTTTTCGTATCGTGCCGTTCGCCCTCCATTCGGTGACCTTGGTGTTTCTGAACACGTAGTCGTCCACGCTGTGGGGGTTGTGTGTGGGTCCTGTGTCTGGGAGGGAGGGAGTGGGGTGCAGGTTGCTCACCCACGGCACCGGGCCGGTGCTTGCACTTTGAATGCCGTGGGGCTCCTGCCCGTGTCCGGGCGTGGAGATGCGAGGGTCGCCCCCCCTTGCCCCACCACTTTGTGTGTGTGGAGACGTTTACCTTACCTTACCTTACGAGGGGGGCGGCGGCGAGGGCGACAACTTAAACTCCCTCGCACTTCAAGACCCACTTCTGAACGACGTCCGACGACCGTAGCGCAGCGCAAACTCGCTCCGATAAAAAAAACAGAGAATGAAAGGGAGGGATGGGAGGCAATGTGGAATCATAAAATGTGCACCAGATTATTTTGTCAGCAACCACACTCGTCCGCGGCGCTACCCGGAGCAGCACCAGCAGCCGTTGCAGACGTTGATGACCTTGTATTCGAGGCACTCGCATGACGTCCAAGGTAGACCGGCCGGCCTGTATCCCCAGGTGATCCCACCATACGGCTGCCGAGTCGTCGTTACCCCATTAGCGACTGCTGTCGCGCAGCTTCCCCTGATGCAATTCACCGTTTCCTGGATGCATTGTGGGTTGCTTGTGCTGCAGCTGCCTGGATCCCACCATTGGGCGCTGCACCCGCACCAGCAACCGTCACAGTTGCCATCGATCGGAGGGAAGGTTGGAGGGGGCAAGGGCGAGGGCGGCGCCGGTGGCAGCGGCGGCGGGTACGGCGGCGGCGGCGGCCGCGGCGGAGAGGACGGGGGGAGGGGGGCGAGGGTGAACGTCTCGCTGCCATAGGATCCGGAGCCGAGCGTGAACGTATAGCCCGCACCCTTCCACTCGTTGCCGGTCCAGCCGTCGCCCCACGAGTCGTACATGTCGAGCGTGCACTCGCCGGGCGGCGCGGACAGGGTGCCAGAGTAGGGGGCCCCTCCACTGCCGATCAACGCGCCGCTGCACGTCAGGTTCCACGACACATCGGACTGCCATCTGCCGCCACCCACAGTGACCTGGAAGTCGATTGATGGAGCGAACGGCGGCGGCGGTGGCGGCGGTGGCGGCGGCGGCGCGGAGGGCGGAGGCGGGACGGACGGCGGCGGCGTGGGCGGCGGCGGCGCGGAGGGCGGAGACGGCGGCGTAGAGGGCGGAGACGGCAAGGACGGCGGCGACGGCGGCGGCGACGGAGGCGTAAACTGCGAGAAGGAGACGTCGTCCAGCGCCATGTCCGACCTGAAGCCCGACCCCGTCTTGCCGTTGAAGCGCACCTTCGTCGTCGAGGCGGGTAGGATCACTACCGCTTCGAGCCAGCTATTGCCCTGGTCGCCGGTCCTGCTCCAGAGCGTCGTCCAGCCCGTCTCGGTGCCGTTGGCCTCGACGGAGAGGGTGCCCATGTCCGAGTAGTCGTAGTAGTAGTCTTCCAAGCCGTACATGTGGTAGAAGAAGGAGAGGGTGCCGGCCTGCTGGAGCGAGAAAAGCGGGCTCTCGAGCTGGTGCAGCTTATCGTTGCCGCCATAAGACGCCTCGGTGTAGAGGTAGTAGCCCGAGCCGGTGGTGTGGTCGCCGCTCGGGCCTGTGCTAGACGATGGAGTGCCGCCGCTCCTGCGGGTCCAAGAGAACCCGTCCGGCGCGGTGTCGGTCCAGGCGCAAGTGTCGACCTCGAAATCGCAGCTTATCATGTCGGGTAGAAGAGGCGGCGGAGAGGCCGACGGCGGCGGCGGCGAGGGCGACAGCGACGGCGGCGGCGGAGTGGGCGGCGGCGAGGGCGACAGCGACGGCGGGGGCGGAGTGGGCGGCGGAGGGGCAGGTGGCGGCGGGGCCGGCGGCGGCGGCGAGGGCGAGGCGGAGGGCGGCGGCGGCGAGGGCGGCGGAGGAGTGTGTGGCGGCGGGGCTGGTGGCGGCGGCGACGGCGACACGCACGCTGAGCACAGCGAGTCGCCGATGGTGAAGTAGTTGTACTCGGCGCCGACGGGATGGTCTTGTGCGCACAACTCCATGTATGTGGTCTCGCACGTGAGGCCCTCGGCGAGCAGGAGCGGGCACTCGGACTCCCAGTCGGCGCTGCTCAATGCCGCGGCGTCCATTGCGCAAAGTGCATGCAGCGGCGGCGGCGGCGACGGCGGCGGCGGCGTTGGCGAAATTCTGGCCAGTCTGCTGTTGAGGACCGCAACTTCGTCCTGGAGGGCCGCAATTTCGTCCTGGAGGCTCGAAACCAGTGCCTCGAGGTCAACGGCGGGCGGCGACGCGGGAGGGCAGAGGACCGCCCCCTCGGGCATCGAAGGCGTCTGGGTGGGTGCGGCGGTGGGCGCGCTCGTCGGCGGGCAGGTCATCGCCTCGCTCGCGCACTTGCTCTTACCCTCCTTGGCGTAGCAGAGCCTGATCTTGAAGTCGCTCTTCACCTCAAAGAAACTGCTGCACGCGTCCGGGTTTGCCTTCTTACACTTGCTGATCACGCTCCGGCCTGCAACGTCGCTGCATGTCAACGGCGCCGGAGGGGCCGGTGGTGGGCACGTCAACGTCGTGCTACTGGCGCACGCGTTTGCGTCAGTGGCGTCTGCAGCGCAGAGCTTGTACTTGTATTTGTTCGCACTCTTCACCTCGAAGAAGTCATCGCAGGCGTCCGAGTCCGCATTCTTGCATTTGCCCACTTCTTGCCGGCCGACTAGGTCGCTGCACGTGGGTGGAGAGGGCGGCGGGAGGGCAGGAGGGGGCGATACAGGAGGGGGCGGCGACGGCGAGGGCGGGGCAGTAAACCACGCATTGAAGGCGTCTATGTTGCCTGCACAGCCATTCAGGAAAAGATAGTAGTTCAGGCCGAGGGTGCATCCAGCACCACATCCCCCGCGGCAGCCAAACGAGAGACCCGTTTCCTGGCTGAGCCTGCTCGCAACTTGCCCGAGACTCTCACATTGTAAGGAGTAAAGCACGGTTCTCCCATAGCCAGGTTGGCATTCGATTCGTGTACCGCCGGCCTGCTCGTCAGCGGAGAAGAGCTTCTCATTCACCGAAATCACGTTCGCCGCGCAATCGCCGGAAGCGTAGATGGTGCACGAGCCAGCTCCATTATACAGAAATGGCGGCGGGGGCGGCGAGCCGTACACCACGGCCGCATTAGCAAACCCGAGCAGCAGCAGCAGCAGCGCTTGCCGCAGATTCGTCCAGAATCCAAGTGAGTGGAGCGCAAGGCTCTCTCGCCGCGGCCGCACCACGCCTGACAGTCGGACAGGCGTTGCTAAGGGAGATGCTTAACCCAGGAACGACGGCAGTGGCGAATGCAACTCGCCTCGCTCCTCTGGAGACCGTTTTAGCAGCACGGGGGCGCCGCCGCCAGCGGCGAGCAGACAAAATGGCGACGTGGGCAGCGCCTCCGGGGCTGGGTACGCCGCGCCCACAGGTTCTTTGAGCGCCGCCTCCGCTCCCGCGTCGAGCAGCGCAGTTGCGTCGGGGCTAGACGGCATTCCGCCCGCCAGTGACCCGATCTTTGGACTCGACGGGCACCCTACCCATCAAGTCGTCGAGTGGCTACCAGTTCGCTCGTTGGGACCGGGGTTCGACTGGCTCCAGGAGGCAAAATGGGTTGAGAATGGTGACCAAACGAGGGGTGGGAGAAGGACAGGATCCCCACCTGCACGAGCAGGATCTTGTAAGGACGATCAGGGACATGTGCGAAGGCCTTCCGTTGTATTCTTTTTCGAAAAATCTTTCGGCGCGCCGGTGCTGATAGGCATGCCTAGCACCGGTGCTGGCAATGTAATGGCAGTAAGTGCCACCTGAGTGCCTAGGTTTGCCATTGCCAAAGCCCCCAGTTTCACAGTCGCTGCTCTCGAGGTCGTCTACCTCTCCATGCTCCTGCTTGCCCTGCTCACGAGCTCTGCCGCCGGCCGCCGTCCTCCACCAAGCTCCGGCGGCCCTGTCTTACGGCGGAACGCTGCCTACCCGCGCAGCCGCACGCGCCTTGCCGCCGACGCCTTGCAGCCTCCAGAGGCGCCCTCGGCCCGAGCGATCCGCGAGTTTGCGCTGCCGTGCCTAGGCCTGTGGCTCAGCAGCCCGGTCCTCTCGCTCATCGACACTTCCGCGGTCGGACTCTCGGCGCTCCCGGGGAAGGGCGCGTCGTCTCTCGCCGCACTCGGGCCCGCAACCACCTTTTGCGACGGCACCGCCTACCTTTTCGCCTTCCTCAACGTGGCCACCACCAACCTGTACTCGTCCCAGCGCGCCGCCGCCGCCGCCGCCGCCGAAGGCGCCGCCGCAGGTCGCCCGTCGCCGGACTCGGAGAGTGTGGTCCGCATCGCCGCGAGGCTGAGCTTGGCTTGCGGCCTGCGCGCGAAAATAGATGCGGCTGAGGTACGACGGCTCAAAGCGCGGGTGGTTCCCGCGATGCGCCGCAACACTCCGCACCCCGAGCGCGCACTCACTCCTCTCCGCTGCACGCTGGGAAGAGTCACGCGACTCGCCGTCGTGTGGGTGGAGCAGCGCGCAAGGGGCTGGTGCTGAGGCTCACTCGACTCGGGTGGGCTCAGATGTGGGGAGATGTGATGAGATGTAGGGAGATGTAGGGAGATCGGGAGGGCTCGCGAGTGCTCGTGCTGCCTGGACATGCCCAGGACCTTTCTTAGACATGTCCGAGACATGTCACGTAGGCTCGCGATGCTCGTGCTGGTCGCGTTCGCTCCGCCGCTGCTCTCTCTGTACGTGGGCGCCGAGACCGCGTCCAACGCCGCGATCCTCGCCCCCGCCGTGGCGTACGTGCGGATTCGCGCCCTCTCCCTGCCGGCAGCGCTGCTGAGCGGCGTCCTGTCTGCGGCGCTGCTCGGGGCGAAGGAGTCGCTCACGCCGCTGCTCGGCTCGGCGGTGGAAGAAGAAGAAGAAGAAGAAGACAGTGGTGCGAAGAATAGGACTCGCTCACGCCGCTGCTCGGCTCGGCGGTGGCTGCTGTCTGCAACGTCGGGCTCGACTTGGTCGGCGTCGTCCTCCTCCGCCAGGGCGTGCCGGGCGCCGCGTGGGCCACGTCCGTCGCGCAGTGCGCGGGCACTCTCTCGCTGCTGCTCGTCGCGCGCAAGAAGCTGGTGCCGGACGGAGGCTTCGGGCTCGTGCCGCGCCGGCGGCCGGCGACGGCAGCCCGCGGCGGCGGTGGCGGCGGCGGCGGCGGCGGCGGCGGCGGCGTCTCGTCTCGCACGTTCCTGCTCTTTGCCGCGCCGGTCCTCACCCTCATCCTGGGGAAGATCACTTGCTTCGGCTTCATGACCTACTCGGCCGCGCGGTTGGGCGAGCTGCCGCTCGCCTGCCACCAGCTCGCCCTCACCACCTTCTTCTTCCTGTCGCCGCTGCTCGAGGTCGTCTCGCAGACCGCGCAGGCTATCCCCGACCTCCCCCTCCCTCCCCTCCCTCCCCTCCCTCCCCTCCCTCCCCTCCCTCCCTCCCTCCCTCCCTCCCTCCCTCCCTCCCTCCCTCCCTCCCAGCCTTGGGCAACCTCGGGAACCCTCGGGAAACCCCTCGAGAAATCTCGGACCATCTCGGACAACCTCGCGGAATCTCGCGGAATCTCGCGGAGTATTCTCGCCGCTATCGCGCAGGCCTTCCTCCCGCCATACGCGCGCCCGCCCGACGGCGCAAAGGTTGCTGCGTGGCGAGACGCGGAGGCGTCCGTCGCGGCGCGTCTGCTGCGGCTGTCCATGGCCGTCGCCGTCGGCGCCGCGCTGGCGGGCGGCGCGTTGCCGCTCTTCGGCACCGGCCTCCTGACCAACGACGCGGCCGTCGCCCTCGGCATGCGCCGCCTAGAGTTCTGGGTAGAGACCCCCAACTAGCACCCCCGTGCTCCAACTAGCACGCGAGACGGCGCGCACTCGGCTGTCTCCGGATGCACTGCCTTTGGCAGCCCTGGCATGCACGCGATGCTCTGGGCACACTGGGAGCAAGCGACTACTACTAGTGTGCCCAGGCGATGCTCTGGGCACGCTGCACGATGCCACACCCCCTCGCTCAGATCGCACGGTGCCCCTCCTCGCTAGGCATGCGCCCGCTGGCGGCCCCGCTCGCGATCGCCGCCCTGCTCACCGGCGCCGTCACCGCGTCGGAGGGGACGCTGCTCGCGCGGCGCAGCCTCGGCGCGCTGTCGGTGGTGTACCTCTCCTCCGTCGCGTTGCTCCCATTCATGCTCACGCGAGCCTCGTCCGCGGCGGCCATCTGGCGGACCTTTGGTCTCTTCCAGCTCATCCGCGCGGTCGCCTTCAGCGGCCGTGTCTGGCTCCCGCGCGTGACCGCGGCGCGCAGTGCCGAGTGAAAGAATTTTTCATTAATAAATAAATAAATAGAGCAGACAACCCCTGGTTAATTTTTTCATTCGTTTGCAGCGATATCGCTGCAAATTCTTTTTGACCGCGCAAGATAAAAGGGTGGCTAAGGGCTCTGCCCGCAAGGCGCCCGCGTCGCAGACGCGGTACCATTGACAAATCTGCAATATACCCCCACACGAGCAAATAGCAAAATCCGAATACCGTGCACGAACTGCGTGATGTGGGATGCAAGCCTTCAGCTGGTGCCAAGACATTCGTAAAATTGAAGCCAAGAACGGCCGCCAAATCCGTGCTTTCGCGCTACCTGAGGGGAAAGCCGCTGATCGAGCCCAGCGTGCCCGCGGCCGCCTCCCGCGCAGCACCGCCGCTGCGGAATCGGATCGATCCCATGGAGGAGGGCGCAGTCGGCTAGCGCAGCAGGCGGAGTCCCTCCCCGCGCCGGAGCCCCCCTGCAGTCGAGGGAGTCCTCGTTGGCGATGAAGGTGGCGACATCGAATCGCGGCCGACACACGTCACGGGAGGAATGGGCGATGAGCGGGAACGATGCGCGCTACGGCGCCGACTCCGCCGTGCTCGTGGCCGCAGAAAGCCGCGCTCCAGGAGCACGCCAAGATGCAATGGCTCGCTTGCTTCGATTCAGCTCTCTCGGCAGCAGAAGTGGGGCTGGAGCGGGTGGGGGTGGATGCCGATTGAGGGGGAGCGTCTCCAGCTGCGCCCTGTGGCAGCTGCGCCCTGTGGCATAGTCGAGGGACTTGGTAGTTGTGACCCCCCTGAGTGAGGACAGGAGAGATTTTGTGGTGTTTGTTGGTGTACGCAATAACGGGACAGGGTGGTTGTTCTCTCTATCTCCTCTTCTAGCTCTTAGCATGAGCTGCGCCCGGTGTCCGACCCCTTTTGCGCAGCAACACCTTAAACTTTTAGGCCCTCCAAATTCGGGTCGGAGCGTAGCGGAGTGGGCCCCGAGTTTGAAAAGGGCGACGGACGCTTGCGTCCTAGCCTCCAACAACGCCTCCCCGGCGCAGAGGGGCCCCCGGAGGGATGCACAACCGCTCCACGCCACGCCGCTTGCGGCGGTCCTCTTCCCAGCTCAGCTGAGGGCCCGTGCGTTATTTGCGGGCCGGCATTCCCCACCACCTTCTATGAGGCTCCTTCGTCGCTCTCTGCTACCCGCACTCCTCGCCGGCTCCGCGCTCCTGCTCCGCGACGGTAGGCTGCTCCGCTGCTGGTGGTGGCTGCGGCAACGCTGGCTCCGAAGCTTTCTTACGGAGACGGACGTGGTCGACCCAGAGCGCTTGCGCCGCATCGGTGGTGTTGACGTGTCGTTCGTCAAGGGCAGCGAGACCGACGCTTGCGCGGCGCTGGTCGTCCTCGACGCCGCCACGCTTGAGGTCATCCACACGTCGTGCCGCCGCGTCGTGCTCACAGCGGTGCGGCCATGGCCCGCGTAGCCTGATGCACGGTTTCCGCCACCGCTGCCGCAGACCCTAATGCTGTCTGCCACCCCGCATCCCACCCACTCTCCCTGTACGGCCCGCGCAGCCGTACATCCCCGGCTACCTGGCCTTCCGCGAGGTCCGCTTCCTGCTCGAGCTGCTCGCAGAGTTGCGTGAGGCGGCGCCGCACCTCTACCCCGACGCCATCCTCGTCGACGGCAACGGTGTCCTGCACCCGAACCGCTTTGGCCTCGCTTGCCACCTCGGCGACCTCTAGCCGAGATCGAACCGAGGTCGAGTCGGGAGCGAGCCGAGATTGAGCCGAGGTCAGCTCCGGAGACGGAGCCGAGGTCGTCGAGGTCGGGAGGAGCATCTGCCTGTCCGAGCGACAGCGGCGTGCCATGATTGGAACCAACCCTTTCCCTGGCACAAGCTCAGATGTCCACGGGCCTCTCCCGGCAGGACTGGATTGGACCCGTCTCGGAGCCGCCTCGGTGCCGTCCTCTCTAGGCGTCCTCAGCGGCGTGCCGACCATCGGAGTGGGCAAGTCGCTGCACCGCGTCGACGGCCTCACCAAGGGGACGGTGGCCGCTCTCACGGCGCAGCTCGACCGGCGCGCGCCCTCTGGTAGACTCGGCGCCGGCCACCGGACCGGAGTGGCGCCGGGACCCGGCCACCGCCACCGCCACCGGGCCACCGGAAGAAAACAGCTGCGGGAGACGTGGAGGCGACGACTTCGCATGCCACGACTCCGCAGGCGCGGCGTGCACGCGAACCTCGTCGGCGCGAGCGGCGCCACCTGGGGCGCGCGTTGCTCGGCCACCCGCGGCCGCTCCCACAGCATTTCTCCATTTCTTGACTGTCACCGCCCTTCTTTTGCAGGCGCGCTGCTGCGCACGTCCGAGCCGGCAAGCGCCGCGGGCGGCATTCGCCCCGTCGTCGTGTCGGTCGGGCACGGCCTCTCCCTCCCGTCGGCCCTCGACGTGGTCCGCCGCTGCTCGAGGCACCGCATCCCCGAGCCAGTGAGGCAGGCGGACTTGCGCTCGCGGGAGTGGCTCAGGGAGCACGGGGCGGCGGCGGAGGAGGAGGGCGGGTAGTCTCTCTCTCCCACGTCAAAATTCTCAGTACATCGGGTGGGAGCGCCCTTCGAGCACTTGGAGTGCAGTTCCCTTACACACGCGTCGTCTTGGAGGGGGTCGTATAAAAAAATTGACGCCGGAAATTTCTTTATTCTCTCTAAATACGATCGTGCCCAGTGTCGTGCGAGGTTTGGGGGTAAAATTCTTTACATGTATTCCACGCGCCACCAGCCAAGTCTCTCTTTACGACGAGCGCTCCCATGCCCGGCCGAAGGAAGGCTGGCTCAGCCGCCTCCCGGCGCGGACGCGCTTCAACGGCGCCACAGGGTGCGTCGCTCGCGCTGCCGAAAAAGCTCCAAGCCGCGGCGGAGGACGGCAAGTTGGGCGTGGTGCAGACGTGGCTCGCCGGGGACGGGCTGGTTGACGCGACGTGCGTGCATCGCGGTGTGAGTGGCTGGACGCTCCTGAAGATCGCCGCCAGCAAAGGCCACAAGAAATTGGTCGAGGTTCTGCTGAAGCGGGGCGCGAAGGTGGACGCACAAAACAGCATCGGCGCTACGGCGCTGATGTCCGCCGCCCACCAAGGCCACGTGCAGGTGGTCGAGACGCTGCTGCAGCACGGCGCGGAGATCAACCTTCAGAGCAGCCGCGATTGCACTGCGCTGATGTTCGCTGCCGACCAAGGCCACGAGCGCGTGGTCGATTTCCTTCTTCGGCACGGGGCAGAGATCGACCTGCAGGACGGCGACGGCCACACTGCGCTCACGGGCGCCGCCGACTACGGCCACCCTGCCGTCGTGCTCCAGTTGCTGCGGGCGGGCGCAGACATGGCGCTGCGCACTGCGGACGGCAAGACAGCGCTGCAGATCGCCAAAGAGAAGGGCCACACCGAGTGCGTCGCCGCCGTCAAGACGTTTCTCGGCGAGGTGGCAGCGGAGAGGCGCGACGCGGCGGCGGTCGAGGCGGGCGGCGAGGGCGGCAGCAGCGGGCCGCTTCCCGAGGAGATCGGCGAGGCGGGCGGCGCAGGGGCGGACGGCGGTGCCGCCTCGGGCAAGGGAGCGGCGGCGGCACCAACTGCCGCGTCCTCTTCTGGCGGCGTGGAGAGCGGAACGGGCGAGGACACCGTCCCCGAGGAGGTCGTCGAGGCGGCTGTGCAAGGCGAGGAGGCGGCGGTGCTGGTGTGGCTCGACGGCGGCGGGTGGGCGGACGCGGCTTTCACTCATAAGGGTGTGAGCGACATCACGCTGCTGATGGTCGCCGCCATCTACGGCTACGAGCGGCTGGCCGTGGCGTTGCTGCAGCGTGGCGCTTCGATCAACCTTCAGAACAGCGACGGCCTCACCGCGCTGATGCTCGCCGCCCTCAGCGGCCACGAGCGGGTGGCCGAGCTGCTGCTGCATCACGGGGCGAAGATCAACCAGCAGGACAATGCCGGCCTCACTGCGCTGACGTATGCCGCCGTCAACGGCCACGAGCGGGTGGTCGAGCTGCTGCTGCAGCATGGCGCAGAGATCAACCTGCAGGACGATGCCGGCGGCACCGCGCTGATGTTCGCCGCTGTCAAGGGACACCTTGCCGTCCTGCTCTGCCTGCTTCGGGCGGGCGCCGACACGGAACTGCGCACGGCGGCTGGACTCACAGCGCTGCAGCTTGCCAAGGAGAAGGGCCACACCGAGTGCGTGCGCGCCTTTGGGGAGCATGCGGCGGCCGAGGCGGCGGCCGAGGCGGCGGCCGAGGCGGCGGCCGAGAAGGAGGCGGCGTGGGCTGCGGGGGCGGCGGAGAGGGCGGCGGAGTGGGAGGCGGCGGAGGCGGAGGCGGCGCGGCACGCCGAGGAGCTGCTGGCGGAGGTCGAGGCGAAGAAGCGCGGCAAGGGCAAGAAGGGCAAGAAGAAGAAGAAGGGCGGCGGGAGCGGCGGCGCTGGGCCGTCGCAGGAGCCCGAGGCGGCGGTGGAGGGTGCGGAGGCGCCATCAGAGGGTGCCGAGGTGCTGTCGGAGGCAGCCGCAGCCGAGGCCGCAAAGAAGGCCGAGGAGGAGAGATTGATCAGGCTCCTCGAAAGTTGTCACGAGGAGAGGATCCGGCTCGGCATCACGGCGGAGAGCCAGGCAGCGGCTTTAGCTGAGATGGTCGAGGCGGAGCGGTTGGCCGAGGAGGCTGAGGAGGAGGAGGAGGAGGCAGAGGCGGAGGAGGAGGAAGCCGCGGCCGAGGAGGAAGCCGCGGCCGCGGCACTTGCGGCAGCTGAGGCGGCCACGGCGGCAGCGGAGGCGGCGATGGCCGCTGCAAAGGCGAGGCGCGCGGCCGCTGCGAGGGCCAAGGCGGCCGCTACAAGGAAGGCGGCGGACGCGGCCCAGCGCTCATAGAGAGCCGCTGAGAGGAGGACATGACGCGCGCATCTGGCACCGCGCCCGGCTGACGCTTGCTGAGGGGTCGCTGACCCCACGCCGCCCCGCCCTCGGCGTCGCGCAGCGGAGGCGGCGGCGTCTCGACCCGACGCCGCGTGAGGCAGGAGGACTTGCGCTCGCGGGAGTGGCTCAGGGTACGGGAGCACGGGGCGGCAGAGGAGGAGGGCGGGTAGACTGCTAGTCTCTCTCCCCCACGTCAATCTCGGTACAAACACCGATGAAGAAAGTGGTCACGTGTGGACTTTGTGTGGTGGCTCTCCTATGTGTACGTACTCTAGAAAGGATAGGGCAAAGATTTCGCAACAAACAACACAAAAGATTTCGTCAGGGAGGGGGAACTGGAAAAACGAATCGGAAACGAATCGGAACCCGGAATCATATGCACACAGGAAGAGTCTACTAGAGAGCACAGAACATGCACACTGTATGTCGATCCATACTGACGAGTGACGATCTGTCAGTGACGTACGCAGCACGGCCATGCCACCATCGCCCCGGGGGCCATGTGTAATCGACAGATCCGATCAGGTGGCGAGAGGCGCTGCTCTCGCCCCGAAGCGTGCTGTCGCTGTCAGCGAGACCTCTCCTCTGCTCACACCAGCGAGGGCTTGTAGTCGAGGTACTCCTTCGCGGAGGGCGTCGCCGCGCCGCCGTAGGCGTCGATCAGCCAAACACCGTCCACCTCCATCTTCACGACGTAGAAGGCGTGGCCCGGCGGGTACATCTTGAAGGACGGGTGCTTGGCGAAGAGCGCCTTCTTGGCGGCCGTCTCCTCGTCGCTGCCCGCAGCAACCTTTGCGAGGCTGCCGCTCAGCACGAGCCGGGCGCAGGGCGGGTTCTCCGGGTCACCAAGCAGGTGGCCAATCTTGCACGCCGCGACCTCCTCGAGCGAGGATGCCTCGGTCAGGGAGAGGGTGCCGCGGGAATTCGACGCGTCGGAGCCGAAGAGGTCGACCATCGAGGCGTCCATGCCGCTCGCGTAAAAGTAGGGGACGCCGTCGACATCCGCAAAGGAGTCTGCGCGGCCGCAGGAGGATGGACACATGTGTGTTGCTGGGCGGAGAGCTGGGTAGACAGGATACACACTTGCTACTGTGTGGCTACAGCTCGCGGAGATGCACATGGGTTGCCGAAGGCGTCGCCTTTGGTTGAACCTTCCGACCGAGTCGACGTCGTTGAGAGAACTCCCCAGGTGAGGGAGGTTGCCATCCAGCGGGCAAAGCCGGGGTGGTCCGAGGCCTTGGGAGGCGGGGCGGTGTACGAAGAGATGAGGATTGTGGAGAGGAAGAGCATGGCGCCGGTGTGACCGAATGCAGATCGAGTTGCAGTTTGGCTGCGAGCGAGTCGCCCTCAGCCTTTACAGTTGTAGGTACCCACCAGGCACCGAAGTTTTGTGTTTGTTTTTTTTCGAGACTGTCGGAAGAAGGAGAAAAAGGTCGTCTTATGACCGTTACTTTGAGAAGAGTGTCGCCACAGCACCCCAGGCTGCGGTGGCAGCGGTTTCAGCGGCAGCGGTGGCAGCGGCGGGCGGATGAGGCGGCGGCTCCGCCGACAGGCGCCACGGACCCCGGACACGCTCCATACGTCGTCCCTGCCCGCTCATCGAGACGTTCGGCGGCTTCGGGGACGGCGTCCGCAGAATTCTTCGGCAGGCGGCGGACCAGCTGAGTAACAAACTTTCGCACGCTCAGCACCTCGATGAGGTCACATGGACCACCAAGAACTGGCACGGGCTGCAGATGCAGCGCTTGTCTGTCGTTCTCCACACCGCCGTGGCGTGGCAGACGGTGAACGAGCTAGCGTGCGGGGACAGCGGCAAATTGAGAGAGAGAGATTTTTAGCAATACCAAACAACTCTAACACTCACACGTAATTTGGGGCCTGGAGCCCTGTTCACGCGCGCGCGAGACGTGCAGACAGGGTTGCCAGGTGAGAGCGAATGGCGCGGTTCACGCCTCGCACAACAGAGAGAGAGATGCGCTCTGCATGGTGGGACATAAAAGAGAGCGAGTACTTGGGCGAGTAGGCCGTGCGGTCAACGCTGCCGCGCGCGACTTTGCGCGCGAGGCGGCGCAGCTTGAGAACGGCGGTGGGCGAGAAGCCGCCGCCGAACGTCTCGTGGAGCAGCAGGTTGAAGTTGTTGCGCTTGACAAAGATCGCGTCGTGGTAGAAACCGCGATGCGCCTTGACGTAGCCGTGGCCGGTCTTGTGGGAGAAGGGTTGGCTGGGCTGCCCGCGCGCCTTGCAGCCCATGTTCAGGCGGCGGGCCTTCTCCTCGGTGTTGCCGAAGGCGTAGGAGTGGCCAACGGAGGCGGGCGTGCCGCCACTCGAGGCGTTGCCAACGCCCGGCGAGGAGGTCTTGAGGAGGGGCGTCCGTTTTGTTGTTTGCAAATTGTGCACGGTGCTAAGTGCATTGCCGTTCTTAACGGAGTCGCTTAGGCGGCTCCGGTGGTGTGCCTGTGATAGTACTAGCACGCGCCAGTTCGCACCTGTGTCGAGCCTGTCTGCTGTGAGAGAGAGTTCTTTTGTTTAAATTCTTCTCTATCCAGTGCTCCAGTGCGCTCAAAGAAAACAGGCAGCCCGAAGAGGACGGCAAGCCGCCACCACAATCGCACGTCCCCCTCAACCTCGGCTTCCCCTCAGTCGCCAAAACAGCAAACGCTCGACGAGTTCATGTTCACAGTTCACCGCTGTGATGGCGCCTGAGAGATAGGTGCGAAGTAGCAACCATGCCCTGCTCGACATTTGCTCTCAAGCTTGCTGCCCGCCCGAGACCTGGTGGTGATGGGGTGCGGTAACTCCAAGGGGTACGAGATTGACCTCGACCCGCCAATCGCAACCAAGCCGCACGCCGCGACCGCAGAGGTCGCTGACCACGCGGGCGTGCTCGCCTCCGCCGAGGTCGAGCTGCTCGTGTCCGGCATCCGCTGGAGCGAGGGCCCAGTGTGGGAGGCCAGCGAGAAGGCGCTCTACTTCGTCGACACGGTGGACGCACGGATCTACCGCTGGACCGAGGCGGAGGGCACCACCATCGTGGCGACCGAGGCCGGCGGCTACGACGGGAGCAACGTGCCCGACTTTGAGCAGCTCTTCGAGCCCGGTGCCAACGGCATGGCGCTCGTGGGCGACGAGCTGACCATCTGCCAGCACCCGACGCGCCGTGTCATCCGCATGAAGCTCGCCGAGCTCAAGAAGCTCAACGGTGGGAAGATCTGCGAGGCGGCCTTCGAGGTGCTGGCACACACGGCGCCCAACGGCAAGCCGTTCAACGCGCCCAACGACGTGGTGGTTGCGCCGAGCGGCGATGTCTACTTCACGGACTCAGTGTACGGCTTCCTGCTCAAGCAGTTCATGCACCTCGGGCACCCCGACCAGCCGTACCTGGACCAGGCTGTGCAGGAGCGCGGCGCCGGCTGCACCGGCGTCTACCGCTGCCGAGCCGGCGGCGCGGTCGAGCTCGTGACGAGCCTGCTCGAGCGCCCCAACGGCCTTGCGTTCTCGGCCGACGGGGGCGCGCTGTGGGTGGCCAACTCGGTCAAGGACACGCCGTCGTGGCACGCCTTCCCGCTGCGCGAGGCGCTGCCGCTCGAGCGCAGCGCGGTGCTGGGCGAGAAGGAGCTCGGCGCCGGCGTGCAGCTCGGGCCGGGGCTGTCCGACGGCTTCAAGGTGGACGAGCTCGGCCGGATCTGGAGCTCGGTGCCGGGCGGCATCGCCGTCATCGACCCCGTTGCGCCCAAGGTGCTCGCCTCGGTCAAGCTGGGCACCAACATCTCCAACGTCAGGTTCGGCGACGGCGGCGACGTCTTCGTCACCGGAAAGGGACATGTGTGGCGGCTCAAGCGCAAGGTCTGAACGTTTCGACTGAACGTTTTAACGTCCTCTCTGTCGACCTGTGTGAACATTTCCGTGGGCCGCTCGATGTGCCCCCCACCTGCCACCTCCCCGCCCTCGGTGTACGGTGTAGTCGTCGAATCAGCGCTCTACCTCTTATTGTTACAGCCTGTGAGCTGTGTGCTGTGAGAGAGAGTTCTTTTGTTTATACTCTTATTGTTACTGTGTTACTGCTCGTCACACGCACATGCACATGCACATGCACATGCACATGCACATGCACATGCACATGCACGAGAGAGTCGCACACGTGCCGTCACACCGCCTCGTCACACATGTAGCCCGGTCGAACACCCCCCAAACAAATAAATTCCCCCTTCGAGCTGAGAGGATTTGGGATTTCAGTCCCGCGCAAATTCGTCATCAACGATGGGGCCAACGGCCGAAAAGCGCCGGTAAGCAAGGACGATGGAGGTGCGTCTTTCCCATGCTCGCGCGCCCCCCGAGCGCGAACTATGCACGGGCCCGGCTCGCCCGCTTGGGGATCCACCCGGCACACCCCCGCCCCCCACCTGCCGGCTTACCTGCCGTCAGTTCGCGCGGGATCGCCCACAACTGTCAGCAACTGAAATCCACTTGCTTCAGCTGTGGACTTCAGCCTCGCCTCACAGCCGACCTTCTGGTCGGACGCGGGTTCTTAAGGGTCGCACATGCCGGCCATGACGTCTGCCAACCGGCCGTTCGCAGGCGGTAGCTTCGCACGCCCCCGACAACTCCGAGAATGACCCGCACGAGAAGTGCGCGTCGGCGGCGCACTTTTCCTCCCAGGCTGTGGCTGCTGCCTTGGCCTCAGTGGCGACCCAGGAGGAGCCGAGCGCCGTGGCGCTGGCCGTGGCTTGCCCCGTGGGCGGCCTCACCCTCTCGCACGTCGCCTACCTCCTCAATTTGGCCACTAAGATGGCGAAGGCGACGGACGGGCTCTCTCACAACAAGGCCTTGATCTTTGCCCGCTGGGTGGCCACCTGCGCGGCGGCGAGCGCGAGCGGGCCGGTGTCCTTGCCCATGTGCGCCAGCCCCGCGGTGAGGTCGCTCTGGCAGGCATGCGAGCGCCACGTCAAGGACTACAACAAGCGCCGCGAGTTGGTGCGCTCGCGCCTCCGCATGGCGCGCCAGCGCGGCGGCAACACCCAGGCCGAGGCCGAGCGGGCGATGCGCGCGCTCGAGATCGAGTCGGCGACGCGCTTCGTCTTCCCCAAGATCACCTCGACCGCGGCCGACGCGGGCGGCGGCGGCGGCGGCGGCGCCGCCGCCGCAGCAGCAGAGATCCCCGCCGACCTCAAGCTCCTCGCGTTCGCGATGGGGACGCACGAGCGGCTCGGCGCCTCGAGCGCCGTGCGGCTGCTCGACATGGATGCGCTCGGGCTCATCGCCGCGGCGGTGCGCGGGAGGCGCCCGCCGCCGCCGTCGGAGGTCGTCAAGCTGCGGCGGCTCGCGGCGCGGCAGCAGCGCGAGATCGAGTACCAACGCAGCCTCCTCTCGCGCGCCGTCACGGACCTCGGCCACCGCGACCGCCGCGCGGCGGCGGCCGCTGCGGCGGCCGTGCAGCAGGCAGTCGCGGCCGAGCGCGAGCGGGCCGAGAACGCGGCGGACGAGCTCCGCGCCGAGAAGGAGGCCGCGCGCACGCGCGAGGTCGCAAAGGTGCGCAGGGAGGCGGCGGCGGCGGCGCGGGCTGCGGAGATCGATCACGAGCTGCGGCTCGGGCGGCACCGGAAGGAGATCAAGGCGTACGCCGACTCGATGGTAGACGAGGAGAGGCGGCGCGCGAGCGAGGCGGAGGCCCGCGCCGACGAGGCGTGCGAGGCCGCCGCCGCGCTGCAGGGCGCGATCGCGGCGCTCGAGGACCAGCTCGAGGTCTTGCGCGGTTCCCGCGTCGGCGGGCTGCTCGACAAGGTCAAGACGCTGCAGGCGACGGTGACCAAGCTCGGCGAGCGGAAGAAGGCCAACCAGCGCAAGGTCTGCGAGGCCAATCTCGACCGCCGCCGCGCCGAGCAGGCGGGCGAGAAGGCGCGCCGGTACGAGGAGGCCTTCAAGAAGAGCGCGGTGCGGGCGGAGAGCTCTGGGAGCGCGTGGGACTACGTCGACTCGCTCGAGCGCGAGCTCGCTGAGACGAAGGCGCTGCTGAAGATCCAGACGGTCCTGCGGCGTAAGTACCAGGCGATCGCCGAGCCCGACCTCGACTACTTCTTTCACGGCGGCGCCTACTCGCTCGAGCACGACATGGCGGGGGTGGAGGCGATGACGTCGTGCCATGTCTCCGCCGGGCAGGTGTCCAAGCTCTTCTTCATCTTTGCGCGCTTCTTCCGCATCAAGATGCCGTCGCACTCGCGCAAGGTTCCGGGGCGGCGCGCGGACGACGGCACGCGCACCTCCGTCCTCCAGCGGCGCTACCGCGTCGGCGGCGTGACGCACTGGAAAGAGACGCTGGCGGTGCGATCTCACGGCCCTTTCCGAGAAGTTTCCGAGAGACCTTCTGAGCGCGCGTCCCCCCCCCCCCCCAGATCGCCGGCGAGGCGCACAAGGTCCAGCTCGGCGAGTGGCTGCTGCGCGACGCCGACGCCGACTACTGCTACATCGCCGACGGCGCCAACTCGCAGCAGCAGGAGATCATGGCGCACCTTGCGTCGCGCCGCAACAAGCAGACGGGCAAGCTCGAGTCGATGGCAATCTCGATCGACGCCATCTCGGACAAGACGTCGGCAGGCGCTCACTCGAAGCTCAGGGAGGCCCTGGGCGCGGCGGCGGAGGCGTTCCAGGAGGTGGCGGAGCTCGGGCTGCTCGACGACGCGGTTGAGATTGTGAGCAACGAGGCGGCGGACGGTGACGCGGCGGGCAGCGGCGTGGCGGGCGGCGCCGCGGCGAGCGACGACGACGCTGCGCCGCCCGACGCGGCCGCCTTCCACGCGCAGCGGCGGGCGGCGCTGAGCGCCAAACTCGCCGCCAAGATCCGCGACCTCCGCTTCTCCGCTTCGCAGAACGACCGCGCTGCGCCCGCGCGCAAGCAGGCGCGGCTGGCTTGCGGCGGCGACGGGAGCGGCGGCGCCGGTGACGTCAAGGACGGCGCGACGTGCGCGCACCACGCGGTCGCCAACATCGGCGAGCTGGGGCGCAAGGCCATCGACGCGCCGCTCAAGGCGCTCATGAAGATCACCGACGAGCAGTCCAGCGCCGACTCCGCCAAGGTCAAGTGCCTCCGCACGAGCGTCGGCTGGTGCGTGCGCCCGAGATGCGCCCGAGATGCGCCCGAGCTGTGCCCAGGATATGCCCGAGATGTGCCCGAGACGGTCGAACAACCTGCGCCCGAGATGTGGCGGGTTCGCCGACCCCGTGAAGTCCACCCAATCGCTCCACGTCGCTCGCGCGCCCTTGTTGTTGTAGGTTTTCGTCGCCGGCCTGCTCGCTGATCTACCAGGTGTCCAAGTACGTGGCGCTCTTCTCCTCCAAGGGGTACGCCATCGGCGAGAACTTCGCGCTGTGGCTCGCGCACAAGCTCAAGACGACGGAGCAGCTCGCCGGCGACCTGATCGGCCACGTCGAGGACTTGCTCGCCATTTGCGGCGGCCGGGACTACGTCTTCTTTCTGGACGCGGCCGTGGTCGACCGCTTCTCGCAGTTCGAGTCGCTCTACGGCTACCTGCTCGAGGAGGCGGACCTGCAGGCGGAGGCGGGCGGCAAGCTGCGCAAGGCGATCATCACCGGGTTCGAGTCGGTCTACTGCATGTCCGCCGTCCGCTCGATGGCGATCATCTCGGAGGAGTGGCTCTGGCCTTGCTTGCGCGCGATTGAGCCCGGCCCGCAGGCGCACATCCTGGACGTGTGCCCGCAGCTGTGGCCGTGCGTGCTGGCGTGGCTCGAGGAGGCGGCCGCCAACCCGCAGGCCGTCATCGACGGCACGCTGAGCTTGCGCGCGCGGCTCGAGGCGTGCGGGCAGCGCACGACGCCGCTCAAGCCTCCGACGCCGGCGGGCGAGCGCAGAGCCGCGCGGGCGGCGCTGGATATGCAGCGCATCCGCGCGTCGCTCGCCGCGGACGCGGAGCAGCTGCAGATCGTGCGCGACATGCTCGCGGGCGCCTTCGCGGCGATGGCGGGCGGCGTGCGCAACCACGCCGCCGAGTTCGTCGGCGACGGCCACCTGACGGTCGCCAAGATTACGCCGGAGCTGCGCAAGGCGATGGACGGCGTCTCCATCACGAGCGTGGCGGCGGAAACGATGTTTGCGCGCGTGAAGCGGCGCGCCGACCGCGGCGGCATCGCGCGGCACGACACGCGGATGGGCGCGGTGCTCGCCGAGCGCGACGGGACCGTCGAATGGCTGCGCGACAAGCCGGCGGGCGAGAAGATTTGGCGGCTGGCGGCGCGGCGCTGGCGCAAGGGGTCGGGGTCGCGCACCATGCAGCAGGAGCGCGAGATCAAGGGCGCCTTGAAGGCGCCCGAACGCGAGGCGAAGCTGGAGAAGAAGCGCGGCGGGAGAAAGAAGAAGGCGGAGGAGCTGGAGCGGCTCAAGGCGTGCCGCCCCGCCCCGCGCCGCAGCCCTCTCGCACCTGCTCACCGCACCGCGTGCGTTCGTAGGGCATCTCGCTCGCGCGCAAGTACTCGGAGCTCAAGAAGATGGGCAACGAGAGGCTGGCCGAGCAGCTCAAGTTCTACAAGCTGATTGAGAAGAAGACCGGCTTCAAGACGACAGGCGCCGCCGCTTGGGTTGCTCCGTAGTAGTAGTTGAGATTGTCACCGGCGCTCTGTCCTGGTAGGCACGGGGCCGGAGATGCGGACGCAGCTGCAGTCGCTGATCTTCGAAAAGTTCGGGCTCGGCTGCAATGACCTCGCGGAGGGTGACGCGGGGACCGACGGGCGCGAGTCGGACGGGCTGCGCCGCAAGGGGTGCCGCGAGACGGTCGTCGGCGGCGGGGCCAAGAAGAAGAAGGCGAAGCGGAAGCGCGGCTGGGTCTACCTCAACGACTGGGGGTGGGACCCGACGGACGGCTGATTGGCAAGATGGTTGCCGACGGCGGGGACGTGCCGGGGCGGGAGGGGGAGGAGATCGCGGCGGGGACGGTGCTCTACAAGGTGCTGTGGGAGGGCTGGCCCCCGGAGATCGCGACGTGGGAGGAGGAGGACCAGGTGCCGTGCGGGGAGGTCGACTTTGTCGCTGACTACGAGGCGGCGCTCGAGGCGGAGGAGGAGGACGATGACGAGGAGGGCGAGGAGGGCGAGGGCGAGGACGCTATGGAGGCCTAGGCGCGGAGGATGCCGCTGTGTGCGCTGAGACACGCTCGTACGTGTGTGCTGGAGCCGGTCTGTTGGGTGTGAATGTGAACACTGAGCCTCACCTAGTAAGGGTTGGTCAACCATGTGGGTGTCTATGTGTTTCTCTCGGGCATTAGATTCTTATTTCATCGTCAAAATGCCCCCATATTCACTTCCCAAAATCGCGACCCGGGGTGTTCGACCGGGCTACAATGTGACACATGCGAGAGAGTCGCACAGCCTGCTGCGGCTCCGTCGAGGACCGGGCGCGCCCCTTACCCGGCGCGGCGTAGGTCCCACTCTGACGCAAAGAGGGGAGGCACGGACGATTACCCGATCCATCAACTACATTCCTCTTCTGGTGCTTAGCCCCGTGCAGCAGCGGTCCGGCAGGCTGCCCCCAAGCATGCACATGCCCTTGAACAGCACCATCTCTTGTGCAGCGGCCCCTGATTTCTTTTTATCTGTGTAGGCGAGGCTCGGGGCGGGTAGGCGGGGGGGCTGTGGAGTTGGGTGGGTGGGTGGCGGGCGGGCTCAAGATCGCGAGCGAGACTGATCGTTTCCCGTGCTGGGATGCAACGACTGTCTGTCGGTGCGGCTCTGGACGGCGCTCGCCATGAGCATAAAACCCCAACCCAGTAGACCAACGATGAGCTGCACGTCCAAGCGGGAAGACAGGACCGCTCTCCAAAAACATTTACTGCCCAGCGTGCAAAAAAGAGAAACAACGCGAGCTCGGTGAGCCAAAGTCGGCGGCAGAGCCGCGTGATGGTGGCGCGGCCTAAGTCCAAACCGCCGCCTAGGGCGTTTCTCCAGCAGAAGCGCGCAGAGGCCGGTTACTACCCATGCAGCCCGGTACCGCATCGTTACGATCCGATTCCCGAATCGAACGACGACTCCAAGCCGCTGTTCGATGGCGAGCAGGCAACTGCTTCACGCGATCTAGAGAGCATGAAAGTGCAATCGTCAACGAAGAAACTGAATAGCAAAGCTGAGCTACGCACTCGCTACGCAAGCACAGCGTCGTCAGTCGCGCTCACAACGCTCCTCCTTGAGTATGCCCGCTATCTTCGCATGTGCATCCTTGTGATAGCATTCGCCATCGCCATCTCACTACCCGTCCTGCTGCTGCCGCTCGCACCTGCCTCCGCCGGAGTCGGTGCGAATGGCGTGTACTACGGCGTGTATTGCGGCAATTTTGCCACGCTCTGGGCGATCACCAACTGGGACCGGCTCGAATTTCTGTTCCAGCAGCCAGACGCTAGCGGGGAGCTCTCGCCGGGTGCGGCGGAGTGGTCGGAGTTCAAGCACTCGGGGCTGCTGGTCCACTGTCGCGGAGGCGGATGGCGCTATCCCATGGCGCTGGCCATCGCATGGATTGCCTTCAGCGCGACGTTTTCTGGCATTGGCCTCTACTTCGGCTCTGAGATGGAGAACAGCCTAGTGCTCTTCTACGGTGCCCCGGTCGCCTTTACCCTCGTGGACTGTGCTTGGTTCTTCATTATACTCCCACGTTCCCGTCGCTCCGTTTGGACCTTCGCGTGCGTCGGCACTCTCAACGTGCTCCTCTGCCTGCCCATCCTCCTTCTCTTCGTACCCACCGTCACAGGTGCAATTTTGACGCAAGTAGTGCCATCGACCCTTGAGGGGACGGCCCTGCTTTGGGTCCACGACATCTCCGTGCCTGTACTCGTCGAGTCGCTCTTCGTCGGAACCCTCGGCACGTTGCTCCCTTGGATGCTGCGGCAGGCGGGTCTGCTTGGCGTGAGCGTCTTGGAGAGTACGGAGCTCCACCTCATCTGCGTCTTCGAGGCCTCGCTGGTCATGGGCACCTTTGATGACCCGATGATGGTCATCGGCGTCATCCTCATCGTCTCCGCCTTCTTCACAGTTCAGCGGCTGCGTGACGCCTACCAGGACGGCGACCCGGACGAGCTCTACCTAAGCTGGTGTCTCTCTCAACACACACGCAAGCTCGCGTTCCCTTGCGCGGCCCTCCCACACCCCCACCGCCACACAGGATGGGCCACATCCCCGGGCTGGCCGCGCCAGTCATCTACCTCGTCCACACCACCCTCATCCGCACGTACATCAACAAGGACCACTACTTCATCTACCGCTGCTCCGCCGGCATCGACTGGGAGCAGCAGGAGTGGGTCATGGTCGTCCTGCTGCTCCTGCGGCTGGCGCTCGTGCAGCTCGAGCTGCTCTACTGCCTGACGCGCAGCCGCCGCGACGTGGCGATGGTGCTCCGCGGTGGCATTGAGTCGCTCTCGAAGCACTTTGCCTACGTCACCTTCTGCCTCGCCTTTGCAGCAACGCTCTTCACCTCGTGCTTCATAATAAGGCACGATGGGCTCGGCCCCGTGTTCGTCGACCTTATCGAGCCAGCCAACTGCCTCAGCGCTCCGGCTAAGTCGCAAGACGGTCCGGCTGCGACCAGGCACCGAGGCTGATGCCTGAATGCGTCACACCCGGCCATCGCAGAGCAGATCGTCAATGAGCTTGCCTGTGGCGAGGGCGGTCGAGTGCACGGAGATTAGTGCCTCGCCTTCCTCGCAGGAGTCGCTTAGACGGCCCTCGCGTGCGGCGTGTGGAGGCTGGCGCGCCGACTGGCAGGCTACGCCTGTGGACAGTGACAGTGATCAAGTGTGTGGAGTGGGTGGTGACTGGTGTGTGCTGGGGTGGTGCCGCGGTGGGCCCCCGCCGGGGGGGGGGGGGGGGCGGGGCGGTCGCCGGGGCCGGGGGCACAGGAGATCCAGGACTCTCTCATTTGAGTTTTGACTGTTCGTACATACGGCAAGAGAACCACAACCAGGACAACAATAGTCAATTCACACCTCCGTCTCCAAGCGCACAGGAGCCACATCTCAAGAGCAAACACGAAACAGTGGAGGCAGGAGGGGGGCTCGGAGCGAGGACAGCAGACGCGCGCACACCCTTGCCGGGCGGCGCAGACACCAATACACGCCGGCGGGCGGGCTCAAGCCTCCGGCTCGGGCGCAGAGGAGATGAAGGGCGTGCCGTCCTTGGCGTGCTTGAGCAGGATCTCGGGCGGCGCGTACTGCGCGCCGTGCTCCGCCTCGAGCGCCTTGAGCCTGCTGACGACGTGGTCCGCGCCGAGCTTGTCGATGTACATGAAGGGGCCGCCGCGGAAGGGCGGGAAGCCGATGCCCATCACGGCGGCGACGTCGCCGTCGCGCGCGTTGCGGATGACGCCGTCCTGCAGGCAGTAGAGCGCCTCGACGATGAAGCGCATCATCATCCTCTCGACGAGCTGCTCCTTGGACAGCTGCGACGCGTCCTTGGCGGGGTCGCGGAACTCCTGCGCCAAAGGGGGTCGCGAGCGCCCGCGCGTCAGGGGGCGCGCCGTGTGCGTGTGCGTGCCGTGGGCGTGGCCGGGTCGGGAGGGAAGGGCGGCGGCGGCGAGAGGAGGGTGGGGTGTGGGGTGTGTGGACTTGTCTTTCGAGATGTGTGTGAAGGGGGGGCGGGGGGGGCGGGGGCGGGGGGGGGGGGCTTGTCGCTCCTTGAGGATGGCGAGCGCGTCCTTGTTGATCGGCTTCTTCTTGGCCTTCGGGTCCGAGTAGTCGAAGAAGCCGCGGCCGGCCTGGGGGGCGGGGCCGGGAGCGGTTGGGGACGGGTCCTGGTGCTCCGGCGTGGCCTGCCGCCTTTTCTTCTCCGGCGTGTGCTCGGGCGTGTGCTCGTGCGTCCTCTCGGGCGGCGCCGCGCCTTGCGGCCGAGCAGACCCTCCTCGACGAACCGGTCGAGCATACGCAAGTCGGCGCCCTCCATGCGCACACCTAGTCTCGCGCACACCCTCGCGTCATCTCGCGCAACCTCGCGGCCTCGGCTCCCAAGGCTCCACGCGCCGAGGTAGCCCTTGGCCTGGTCGCCGATCAGGTTGTTGACGACGTGGCGCGACACGTCGATCCCGACCTCGTCGCAGAGCGTCACGCCGCCGACGGGCATCCCAAAGTCGAGCAGCGCCGAGTTGATCGCGAGCGGGTCGGCGCCCTGCTGCGTGAGCGCCATCGCCTCCGTGAGGAAGGGGCCGAGGCAGCGGTTCACGTAGAAGCCGGGCACGTCCTTGACCGCGATCACCGTCTTGCCTACGTGCTGAGTGCGCCAACCTCGGGGCGGGATGACGGTATCGTGCAGTGTGTTCAGAGCACCGCGTGAAGACGAGGGGTACGGAACAATGCTAGTTGGAATACAAGAACACATATTCCGCTTCTAGGCTGTCTCGCCCTGCTGGATGCCAACCTCGACGGCGGCAGCGGCGACGGCGGGCGCGGTCTTGTCGTGCGTGATGACCTCGAGCAGCGGCATCTTTGGCACGGGCGAAAAGTAGTGCATGCCCACGATGTTCTCCGGCCGCTGCGCGACCGACGCGATCTCGCCGATCGGCAGGGTAGACGTGTTTGACGCGATGATGCAGTGCGGGCCGACGATGGCCTCCATCTCGCGCACCACCTAGTGGGGCACGGCGAGGAAAAGGTGAGCCTCTCCACACACACGAGGTGGTGGGGCAAGGGGCCAGGCTAGGCCCTCGCGACTCCACGTCTAGACGACAGGAGCCCCGCGGCATTCAAAGTGCAAGGCCGGTGTGTGAGACCACCTTGTGCTTGACCGACATCTCCTCGAAGACCGCCTCGATGACCATGTCAGCGCCCGCAAAGTGCTTCTTCCACGCGGGCGAGGCGTCGGTGAGCCCGACGAGCCGCGAGGCCTGCGGAGATGTGGGGAAGATGTGGGGGAGATAGGGGGGAGATCGAGCCGTCGGTGAGCCGCGAGGCCTGCGCGTCGTGCGTGTAGGTGGTGAGGCGCTTCTTCTTCAGCTTGGCGCCGAGCGACTTGAGGATCATGTCCTCACCGCGCGAGAGGCCCGCCTGGAAGAGGGGGAGATGTGGGGAGATGTGGGGAGATGTGGGGAGATCACGTCCTCCCCGCGCGAAAGAGGCCCGCCTGGTCCTTGTCCTTCATCAGCACGCGCAAGTTCTTGCCGATCGACACCTCCGCGATGCCCGCGCCCATGAGCCCGGCGCCGAGGACGCCAATCGTCTCCACCTGTTGAGAGGGGTAGAGCGGCCGTAGAGGAGAGGGAGAGGCACTACACGACTGGCGACGGGCTTGCCGAAAGGGTGATCTCCATCTCTCCCCAGATCTCTCCATCTCTCCCCAGATCTGCCCACCTTCTTGTCGGGCTTGCCGGACGGGGTCTAGGGGGTGTCTAGGGGGTGTCTAGGGGGTGTCTAGGGGGTGTCTAGGAGGTGTCTAGGAAGCGTCTCGCCTTCTTGTCGGGTTTGCCGAACGGGTTCTTCTTGGCGGCGGTCGCGCCGAAGAAGATGCCGCGCAGCGCGGCGGACTCAGACGTCGCGGCGAGCTTGCCGAAGAGCTGCCGCTCGACGGTGGAGCCTGCCGTGTGCCCCGCCTCGAGGCCCGCCTTCGCACACTCGAGGATCGCGGGCGGGGCCTAGTCATGATCATTCATGGTGACTCTTGCAGTTCCCGTCGCCCCGCCGTCTGCGCACTCGAGGATCGCGGGCGGCGCCGGGTAGTTGCCCTTCGTCTGCTTGAGCATCGCCTTGGTCGCCTGGTCGAAGAGCAGCTTGCGGCCTGGCGGCGTCTTCTCGAGGAACCAGTCCATCCAGCCGAGCTTGCGCTGGCGCGGCTTCGTCTTGCCGGATGCGGCGTCGAGCGCAGTGGCGATCGCCGACCGCTCGAGCGCGTTGGGGTCCACGACCGCGTCGACGAGGCCCATCTTCTTGGCCTTGTCGGGCTTGACCTGCTGCCCGGTGAGCATCATCTGGATCGCCGTCTGCGCGCCGACCAGCCGAGGCAGCCGCTGCGTGCCGCCTGCCCCGGGCAGCAACCCAAGCATGACCTGCCAGAGCAGAGGCTGACGCAGCTGAGCGCGCGCGGGGCCGAGGGCGCACGGGTGGTGGGCGGGTGGTGGGGTGGAGGGTGGTGGGAGGGTGGTGGGCGGGTGGTGGGAGGGTGGTGGGAGGGTGGTGGGAGGGTGGTGGGAGGGTGGTGGGAGGCACAGTCGGGGTGGCGGGAATATTTTGGGAAGGTGGTGAGAGAGGCTTCGGCGGCGAACGCGCCTCGGGCAGGCCAAGGATGGTCTTAGGCGACGAGGTGGCGACGCGGTGCGAGCAGGCGAGCGCAATCTCGAGGCCGCCGCCGAGCGCGGGGCCGTCGATCGCCGCGACCCACGGCTTCGACTTCTGCATCGACTCGAGCTTGTCCAGCGCCGCCTGGCCCATGCCGGACGCCTCTGCGAGCACCTCCGGAGGCGCGTCGCCGAGCGCAGCAATCTGCTTGATGTCGGCGCCCGCGACAAAGGAGCCCGGCTTGGAGGACATGAGCACGACCGCCTTGACCGCTGCGTCCTTCTCGATCCGCGACGTGATCTCCTCAAACTCCTCGAGCAGCTCCTTTGACATGGTGTTCTGCTTTGCGTTCGGGCAGTCGATCTTTATGAGCGCGACGCCAGACGGGTGGACGTCCATGGTCAGGCTGCCCGCGTTGCGCACGCCGCGCCTCGAGAGGGCAGCCGCCGGCCGTCGCGCGAGCTTGAGTGCGGACTGCATGATGTGTTTCTGTGGCTGCGTTGCAGCGCGCTTCTCGACAACTCTCGACTTCCCCCTTGATGACGATACAGAAAGAAGAAAAACTCGTCGGGCCACCGTCACCAGCAGGAAACCTGTCCCCCTGATCGTTCTTTGTAAATCCTGCTCGTGCAGGTGGGGACCCTGTCCTCGTCCCATCCCTCGTTTGGCGTGTGTGTTTTCTTTCTTTCTTTTTTAGGAAACCCCGCTCCCTGGAGATGACTGCTCTATTTATTTATTTATAGGAAACCCCGCTACGGTCGGGGCAAGACGGCGCTCGATGCGTTGCCGCGCGAGCTGGAGCCCGATCCAGCTATCTGAAATGGCTCGCGTTAGGTCGCCAAAAAAGAAATCCGAGGGTGGCGGCGGCGAGGGCGAGGTGGAGGGCGGCGGCGGCGAGGGCGGCGGAGGGGCGGGTGGCGGAGGGGCGGGTGGCGGAGGGGCAGGATGGGCTTCCAGTATCGGACCTTCAAGACATGCGCTTTTGGCCGGTGGCCTCCTCGGACAGCTGGCGCTTGCTTGAGCACTTGAGCACTGGATAGGGTCGATTCCGCATGCTACGGGACCCCTCCATCGTCTCGCCCACCCTCACTGGTGTGTTCATCGGGGGGGGTCATAACAAACCGAGGTCGAGCTACAAGAGGAACTTGTTCAGCAGGATCCGGGATAGTCTGGCGACTCTGGCGGGATGTTGTCTTCAGCTGATTAATTTCTCCTCTGACGCTCTTGTGTCACGCGGTGTGTCGTGTGCACAGTGTGAAGAGAGATCAGTGTCCCACACCCAGTGACACGGGGGTGGAGAAGTTTGCTTTACCTTACCGCTTACGCCTTACCTTACCTTACCTAACTCGCAGTCACGGCTCGCGCATGTGCAGAACATCACGTGTGCAATGCCGCGCGCCGCGCACCTCCTTTTGCTCGCTCGTCCTTCGGCCGTCGCCAGGCGGGGAAGAGGTTTCCCGCGTGGAGGCGACGGCGTCATGCTCGAGCAAAGGAGGGAGATCGGCACGCGGCCAGAGGACTGCTCAGGCTGCCCCGGCTGCCGCCAGCACCTCCTCGATATTGGGCGTGGCGCCCGGCACCTCGTCGCTGTGCGCGAAGAGCACCTCGTCGCCGTCGATCGCGTACGTGCCGCCCAGCACCTTGACGCCCTCGGGGAACTCGCCAAACTTCATGCCCTTGGGCACGGGCGAGAGCGAGCCCACATTCTTGAGGTAGGTCATCCATTTGCCCATCCCCATGGCCTTGGGCGGCTTGAAGTCCGGCGGCTTCTCGAGCTGCTTTTCCCCTAGCTTGAGGTTGAAGCCGGCCGCCCTGTAGCCGGCAAAGTCGGGCGAGTCGTCGATCAGAGCCTTTGCGCCCGTGAGCTCCGGGTTGACCTCGAGGAACTGCTTGAGCTGGTCGGGACGGCCGACAGAGATGAAGAGCGGACCCGCGACGCCGGCGGCGGCGAGACGCGGCGTCTCGCGCTGCCAGTTGAGCGCGTAGTCCCAGCACAGCGGTCACCCGAGGTGGCGGAGGAAGATCACCACCGCCTTGCCCTCGTCGCCAATCGCGCTGCACACAGGCTCGCGGTTGCCGTCGGCGTTCGCGAGCACCATACTGCGTAGCGTGCGGCCCGTCACGCGGACGTCATTCATCACCACGCCCTGCGGCTCTGCGCAGCCGCAGTCCGCGCCGGCTGACGTCGGCTCCAACGAGACGTCCACTCCGCTGGACGTCTCTGCCAGACACAACCGATGCAGCGAGCGCAGAGCGCCGGCTTGGGCAGCGACAGACGTCACGGCTTGGGCAGCGACAGACGTCACGTGCGATCCCACGTGGAAGCCGGACACGGCGTGGGCAGCAGCGAGGAGCATCGAATTCGGTATCGATGGGGAAAAGTAGGGAACCTCCATGTTTTTCTTTTTTGTCCGTGGATGGACGAGAGAGCAGTTTGTAGAGATGCAGAGCGCTCGCGTAGGCACTGGTACTCGAGGGTAGGTGCTCGTAGCGTAGGAGGGAGATGCCTCAGTGGTACGGGCCGCGGGGCCCGTATGTGCCGGTCCGGCTGGACCGAGAGGTGGGTAGCAGGAGTTAGGTACATTAGAACAGGAGTTCGGAAGAGGAAAAGGGCTCCCTAACTCAAGCTACCTTACCTTAAGTTCGGTACCCCCCCCCCCCCCCGGTTTTTTTTCTCTCTTTCTCCGCGCCGACCTCGACGTCTCGACCGCGCCCGGAGAGTGTTTCGACGAGCTGCGAGAGGCGCACACGCAGCTCGTCAGCAACCACGACCTTACCGACAAGTGCCAGCGGGATTGGCGGAAGTGGGTCGAGTGCCGGGAGGTGGTGAGCCCGGGCAATGCGACCAACGAGGCGAAGGCGGAGCCGAGGTTCCGCTTCTTCCCGCAGGGGCTGACGCCGGCTGCGGAGCTGCTTCCCCTCGCCCAGTTCTCGTCCACCAACGAGTACCTGCACCAGGCGCAGCGACGGTACACCTCTGGCGTGCACCACTCTAACTCTCGCCCTTGCCGAAGAGCTTACCAAAGAGGGCAGGCGCTTCGCAGCGGCGGCCGCAAGGCGCCCTCCAAACGCAAGAAGGTCGGAGGGCGCAAGAACCACAAATGCTGGCGAGAGGCGATCCGCTTCGTCGCCGTCAGCCAACCAGGGGCCGGCGCCTTCCTCAACGCCATCCCCATGCGTGATGATATGAAGATGGAGTCCTGGGCGATGCGCGTCACCGTTCAGCGCCGCCTCGGGCTCCCCCTCGATGTCGCCTGCCAGGCGGCGGAGGCAGGCAAGAGGGCACCCAACGGCCAGCTGCACGACATCCTCGGCGACGCCGCGATGGTTAACCCTCGGTCGAAGCATGCTACAAGATACAAATTCCTACTCAAGCGACTGGTCAAGACCCTCCGCTCGGCGTGGGGCATGATCATCGAGATGGAGCCGACTGCACACCTCAGTTACAGTAATCCCAAACAATCTGACGTGGGCTGGCGGCGGCAAACATCGGCAAGGGGCACAGGCGCCTTGTTGCCGATTTGAAGCTCACGAGCTCGCTTGCGAGCAAGGGCAAGGACGCGGCCGGCGACGGAGAGCTCGGCTGGAAGGGGGCGTATGTTCGCTTCGGCAACACGGAGCCCGGGCTGCTCAATCTGGTCAAAGGGCGCGGCAAGTACTCGCCGTCGAGAGCGACGGCAGCGGCGGGTGGCGGAGGAGGAGGAGGAGGAGGAGGAGGCGGAGGCGGGGGAGGTAGGGGAGGGAGAGGACGCGGATGCCCCCAAGAGGCCGCTCATGCAGCTGGATGGCGATTACCGCTTTGCGCGGGAGCAGGATTGCGATCTGCGCTTGTTCGACTTCGAGAGCTTCGGAGGCTTTGGAAAGGAGGTCCGCAGCTCCCTGAGGGAGGCGGCGAACCAGCTGAGCAACAAACTTTCACATGCTCAGCACACCTGGACGAGGTCACAAGGACAACCAAGAATTGGCACGGCCTGCAAATGCAGCGTTTGTCAGTCGTCCTCCACACCGCTGTGGCGTGGCAGACGGTGAACGAGCTAGCGTGCGGGGAGAGCGGCATTGTGCATGGTGCGGAGTGCATTGGCCATTGCCGTTCTTAACGGAGTCGCTTAGGCGGCTCCGGTGGTGAGCCGGTGTGCGTGCCAGTCCGCGCCAGTCCGCGCCCTTGTCTTGCCAGCGTGCTGTTTAACACTTTACTCGAGTAGATGTGTCGGACCATACTCGAGAGAGAGAGACCCTCTCTCTTTTCTCCCAGTAAGCTAAAAGTACGTACTCGAGTAGATGTGTTGTACAACTTAGGGGCCAGGGGGTAGACCGTCGGCCGACGGCAATGAGGTCGCTCCGCCGCTGCCGCGCGGTTATCTTCGACCTCGACGACACGCTTGTCCCGACCTCGAAGATCGACCGCGCCGCCATCCTGCACGCGGCGGCGCTCGCGAGCGGCGACGAGCTGCCGGCGGTCGTGGCCGCCCGCTTTTCCGAGTTGCTCAAGGCAGAGCCGTTCCCGCCGGAGCCTTCTGGGCTGGACGTGCCTGCCTGGCGCACCGGCCTCTGGGAGCGCGCCTTGAGTGGCAGCAGCAGCGACGGGCGCGCCGGCGCCTCGCCGGCGGCAAGGCAGGCGTACGAGGCCTGGTCGTCTGAGCGGCTGAGCAGCTTTCGCTTTGCGGACGACGTGGACGCGATGGTGCGACGACTTCAGTCCGCCGGCTACAAGACGGGCGTGCTGACCAACGGCCACGCAGACGTGCAGCGGGCAAAGACGGCTGCTTGCGGTGCGGGCAGCCTCTTTGGAGAGGAGCGGGTCATCATCGCCGGCGCCGGAGACGCGTCCACGGCCACGGTCGCACGCGCTCGCCCTCTGATGGGCGGGTGTGGTCCGTTAGGCGAGCACGCAGAGCAGAAGCCGCACGCCTCGATCTTCCGCGTCGCGTGTGCCGCGCTCGGGGAGCCCGACGGGAGCGCCACCCCTGTAGTCGGCACCTCTCCCGGCCCTCACCCGCGCACCCGTCCCAGCCCTCACCCTCGCCCTCACCCTCACCCTCACCCTCACCCTCACCCTCACCCTCACGCTCATCCCTGCCGGCGCCAACCCTAGGAGCGCCACCCTCATGGTGGGAGACTCGTACGCCGCCGATGTGGCCGGCGGCATCAACGCCAGCTTGCTTGCCACAGTCTGGGTGCGGCCGCCTCTGGAGCCGCCGGAGACCGGCGCGCAGGGGTCGCTGATGCACGGCCACCTCTCCGCCGTGCCGGCCGGCCAGCCGAGCCCGACTTTCACGGTGGAGAGCGTGCTGGAGGTGGAGGCTTGCCTGGAGAAGATTGGCTGATCTCTGTGCCGCCGTGCCGACGTTCGTGCGTGTCCGGCATGGTCCATGAATTATAAGTCTATTTTTACACGGCTCTACTTTATTCGCTGACAACCAACTCCCGCACACACACAATCGCACTCTGGCCATCGAATGACTCCGAATGACTCACTATGTGTGCTAAGACAGAATCTCCGAGACATCCAAAACGCGGGCCGTGCCGCGTTTGTGGTGTCTTCTCTCAAGCACTAGCATCGGTCGCCGCACTCGAGTGGGCGGGTCACATCTATGTGGGCCCAGTGTGCGCACTCGGCGCATATGCTACCAGGTCACAGTATGGGTTCGGGACGTATTCACAGCAGTGTCGGGTCACGTGGGGGTAGGGGAGTACCAGTGACGTGACGTGACGTGATGACGCGTAATGCAGGCGGGCTGGATTTCTTCTTCGGGTGGGTGAAAAAAAAACTCGCGGCGGGGGCAATCCCGAGAGTCAATCCGATTGCAATCCAGTGGAATTGCAATTTGCAAATCGCAATCCAAATTTAATCAGTCAGGTCTCAGCTCGGGAGCAATCAATGATTTGCAGTCCGATTGCATGCAATCCCATACTCCGAACTCAGATTTCTTCTTTAAGTTGCAGACCAGGAATGCTAGTGCTATCCTGCCCTATGGGAGGCAGAGGGAGGGGGGGGGGGGGCAGAGGTAAGGTGTGTTCCCGGGCATTCACACTATATTCCTGAGATAATTGGGCGACTATATCCATAAGGGATTTCATCCCTTTTTGGTTTGGAGATTCGTGTTCCGTTTCGGTTTTGGGTAAAACGTATATTGCACTCTTCGCTCCGATGCGGCCCCTGCCTGGCCTCTTGCTCCTATTCGGGAGCTATGGCGGGACCGCTTCGAGTATGGCTTCTCCTCTTCTCCACCGGCCAGAACGGCCTCGCATCGCCGAGGCCGACACCACCATCGACACGACAGCGTCGGACATCATGGCACCGCCAACTTGTGCGCTGCCAAACCTTGCACCCTATATGGCAGTCACCACTTACGTGCCCGGCATGTTCGAGCACAACCCTATGCGGGCTGAAGGGTCTGAACAATGCACTCGGCCGGCCTCTTCGAGCCCGTTCGAGCCCACCATTCGTTTCGACAATCCAGTTTCTGAGTTCTTATCGCTATTTGCACATTTCGAACCAGAACAAAGATCAAAGTGAGGACATGTACATGTTGTTGTTGTGTGCCTCCACCCACACTACCTCCCAGGTGATGGAGCACGCGCTACAGTCGGCTCCTGAGGCGGCGTTGGGTCGTGTCGCCTCCCCTCCCCGGGGGGTCGGGCCGGCTTGCGCGAGGGAGTTTTCCGTGGCGGCTGAAATTCTATTTTTGCTTGGCCGGCCTCGTCCTTCCTTCCTCGGCTCGATCGAGTCCGTCGTGCGTCGAGACGGACCAACCATCCATCCTGATGACGGGGTCTGGGTACGGCTTTGTAGGTCTATGGCCTCCCGTAGTCCCGCGGTCGGCGGCGCTCTCTTGCGATACTAATAATTAAATTAAAGAAATCAATAATTCTAATGCAACGCAAGAAGTTCCACGTGTCATCGTTCAAAGGAGGTCACAGGTCAGCAGGGCGAGCCAAAGCCGAGCCGTCTGCAACCGCAACAGTAGTCTCACTGGGCATGGCTGTGGCGTGGCTGATTGCTGCCGTCGCCCTGCCGGTGCCGTCCGGCCTGCTCGCCGTCAACACGACCCGCTTCCGTATTCTGCAGGTCAGCGACACTCACTGCCTCGGGGACGCCACCGACGCCGCCACACACAGCTTCATCCGCGAGGCTGTCAAAGGGGAGCAGCCCGACTTGGTGGTATTCAGCGGCGATCAGCTGGATGCCAATGCGGTCCAGCTCCGGCGGGCCATGCTTGCAACCCTTCGGGCGGCGGGGAGGCCCTTCCTGGCCCTCAGTGGCAACCACGACAATAGGGGTGAGGTGGAGGCCTCATCCAGGCTGGCGGGAGCGCTCGGCGTCCAGGTGGAGGGCGGCCGTTTCCTCGACCTCACCGACAGGCAAGGTAAGCGCCTCTTCCGGCTCTGGGCCTTTGACTGGCTCGAGGAGCGGGACTGGGAGGGCCGCGCCAGGCAGCGGTGCGCTCGTCCAGCCACGCGGCTCCTCGCCCAACACAAGCTCACCTGCCGGTCCATATGACACGCGCCTCCTCGCCCAACACAAGCTCACCTGCCGGTCCCTCCGTGACAGAGAGCGCTTCCACGACCTCTCCGTCCGAGACCCCGTCAAGGCGCTCGCCTTTGTGCACATGCCGACGCCCGAGTTCGCGGAGGAGGGCCGCCCGACGAGGCCGGTTGGCAACGCGCTGGAGCCAGTGTCGTCGACGTGGGCGGACGACGGATGGACCGAGGCCCTTGGCGCACAGGGCGTGCTCGGCATCTTTGCGGGCCACGACCACACCAACGACTATTGCGTGGAGTCGCACGCGCTGCCGGCCCTCTGCTACGCGGGCTATGCCGGGGTCGGGGCATATGGAGCTCCCGTGGAGCGGAGGTTGCGCGTCATCGAGCTGCAGGGCCTCGGGAAGCCACGGCCGGCCATCTGGACCTGGAAGCGAGTGGAGCCGAGTGAGGAGGGGCAGGAGGGGAGGACCATCGATGTGCAGAGGCTGGTGTGAGTGAGCCATGGAGTGAGCTTCAACCCCTGTGTAAATAAATAAATAAAAACGGACACCTCTCTACTGTGAGATGGGTAAAAAGGAACAGGCCCCCGCCCTTGCGATCTTTGTGCAGGGTTCTTTGTGGGTGTGGTCGGCGACTAGCCGGGGTCGTCCTCCCGGTGGGGGACTAGCACTAGCCGTCTTCCACATGGTCCCTCGGGTCCCTGCTGCTCCTAATCTCTTCGTACAACCCCTGTGTACACAGCGAGGGAGCCTGTCTTATTTGGACAGGCCCTGGGGGCAGCGGGTTCTTACAAATCGGACTAGACAGGAATGACTGCGGAGCGGCCTGCTCCTCACTCCAACGTAGCCGTCGCGTCGCGGGCGAGGGGCGCCGCCGGCGCTTTTAGGTTTTAGCTCTCAGGCTTTTTGGAACCCGAGGAGCGAGGTTTGGCCCAGCCCCCCAGGTACCGATTTTGTCGAATTTATTTCAAAATCTGCAGGCGCAGTCCGCAGAGCGCCTGCAAAAATTTGGAAGGAATTTGCGGTCGCGGGTCGGTCCTGATTTGCATCAAGATCTTTCAAATTTGCGGTGTGGAGTTGGGGGGTTGGTAGGGTTAGGGTTAAGGTTCGGGTTCGGGTTCGGGTTAGGATTAGGAGATTAGGATTAGAGTTAGGGTTAGTCTTGTTGTGTCTGTATATGCCAGCGTTGCAGGGTTCTGCGCTGGGATCTGGCCCCAGCACCGACGAGTAAGACTCAGCCCCGCACGCTGCCTGACCCCACCAATCGCCGCCTCAGGGCGCCAGCCACCTCTTACACGTGGCCGGCGCTCTCTCGCGGCAAAAGGGTCGAGCGAGCGGGCAGAGTCGCGATGTCTAAGCAGCTGGCGGCGATGACCAGCAAGGTGAACAAGTCGGACACCACCCTCCACCCGGCGCTTTGTGCTCCACAAGGGAGTCCTTCTGAGCGGCGCGCCACTGGCGCGCGCCGCGGTCGACCACAACTGTAAAGTGAGATACAGTACACATGTTGTATGTTCATGGTTGAAGAGTTCAACCCACCGGCAATACCAATAGCGAATAGGAATAGCGCGTGTTCCACACGGCGTGTCTGGTGAGTGGTGTCTCCGAGGAAGGGAGTCAGTACAGAGCGAGAGGTCTGACTCAAAGGGAGAGTGTAGATCTAGATCTGTCCTCACGATTTTGGGGCCCAACATTTTTCTTTCTTTGATCTCAATATCTCCACGCGCAAAACGAAAAGGTAGCTGAGGCGGCGGCGCTGCCAGAGGCGACGCACGCGGTGGTAGACACCGTCGGCATGAAGGAGGACTTTGCGCGCACCTGGCGGGAGCACGTCGTCGCGCCCGGCTCGCTGCTCGAGGAGGCGATGCTCGAGGCGGTCGGGCTGCACCGGATGCGGACGACGCCGCCGCAGGGCATGAAGGGCGCGTGGAAGAGGCTCGCGCCCGGGATCCCGAATCCATGGATCATGCGTGGGAATCCGAGGGCGGGAGCCTAGAATTGTGTGTTGTACCATCAGTCCTTCGGATCACGGATCCTTTCTCTTTCTTCGGATCCGTGCTGCGAGGCGCCGAGGCCTCTTCCACGACAAGACTCAAGAGAAAAAAATCGCACTTGCGAGCACTTTTGTCTTTCTTGTCCGGAGGCGGCGCTAGACGCCGATCGTCTGACCACCGTTTGGCCGCTTGAAGGAAAGAAAACGCACAACCCAAGGGAGGGATGGGAGAACGGCACGCCGCCACCACACAGGGATTTTAAGGAGAGGAGTGTGGTGCGCTAGCCGTCGCCCACCCTGGGGAGTCTGCCTCTTCGTATCTCTTTTCGCAGTCTCTCGCCGCTTCTCGCTGCAACCTTCATGCCACCTCGCGGCCGTCCCACTCTCGTCGGTCTCTCCCTTGTCACTTCCTCCTCTGTCGCGTCGTTCTCTTCTGCCTCGTCCTGCGACGCCGCCGCCTGCCGGTCCCTTGTTCTCGCGGCTTCTTTCGCCTTGCGCAACTCCGTCCTCCTCGCGGCGTATCCTGGCCCCTCGAGTCTATCAAGCTCTTGCGCGCCGTCGGCTCGGGGGATTTTTTCTCTTCTTGATCACGCCAGGTCTAGCGAGACGCAGGTGGGAGCGGAGAGAGCATCCCCCAGCGAACCACTCTGCCGTTACGCGTGGCATCCCAACACCCACCAATCGCCTCGGGTTAATGTCTAGAGCGCGCGCGCAGCACCGCGCAGCACCGCGCAGCCAGTTCGCCGCGCTGCACTCCACCCGCGGCGCGGCGCAGAGAGCGTGATCTCGTTGCACCCTTGCATCCAGCGAAAGAGCTGAGCCCATTGTGCACTTCTCTACACCGTGCCCCGCCTCTGGTGCTGAACAACTCTCGCCGCCTCGCGCAGGACCCGGCCGGGCGCCGAGGCAGCAGCCAGATGATGCCTGGCGCAGGTCTGCCGGTGCCAGCGTCGTCGCAGTCGCCGCCTGCGCCCTTCTGCGGCGTGCCGGGCGACACCATGCAAGCCATGGCGCAAGCGACGTGGAGCCAGGTCGGCGATATGGCTGCTCCCGGAGCTCAGGCGCTCGGCGCGCCGCAGCCCGCGCCCGGCGCCGGAGGCATCTGCCCTGTTGGCGGCGCCGCAGCAGTCGGCACGCAGCCGCAGCTCGGCGCGGAGCAGTCGTCCATCTCTCTGAGCGCGCAGGCGGAGCTGGAGCTGGAGCTGTCGCTGCGCGGCTCCCTCCTCGTGCAGCAGCAGCGCAGGATCGTCCAGCTCGAGGACGAGCTCCAGCGCGCGTGGGCCGAGATTGACCGCCTGCGGACCAAAGTCGCCGCAGTCGAGCGCGAGCGGCAGCGCTCCGAGGACGACTCGCAGAAGCAGGCGCGCCACGCCCGCCGCGCCTCCCGCCCCGCCGTGCCGCGCCGCGTCCGCCGCCCCTCCCGGGTGTTGTCCCCCCTCCCCCGCCCCCCGGTGGTGGCGTTCGCCCCCCATCCCCCCCCCTTGGGGGGGGGCCTTTCCAGCCGCGCCGGAAAAAAATCGGGGCGCGCCATTCCGCCCTGTAGGCACCCCCCCCCCCCCCCCCGCGCGCCCCGCCCCCCCCGCGCTGAGCCGGTGACGCCTGGTGGTCCCTCCCGCGCGCGCAGCCGCGCTACTGGACGCCCGAGGAGCATCGCCTCTTCATGGAGGCCGTCCAGCGGTTTGGCTGGAAGGACGTCAAATCCATCGCGCAGCACGTCGGCACGCGCACGCCGACGCAGGTCCGTTCGGAGAAGTGTCCACCGCGCGGCGAGGGCCGTTGGCGCTAGCGCGCCACGCGCCGCCCACCCGCCCTCTCTCTCTCGCTCTCGCCGCCGCTTCAGACAGCCCCCCCGCCCCCTCCTGCCAGGTGCGCACGCACGCGCAGAAGCTCTTCCTGCGGCAGCAAAAGGAGCAGACGGGGATAATGCAGCCCATCAAGAATGGGCGCTCCGACATGCCCGCACTGACGAGCAATCTCTCGGCCAGCAGCGCAGACCACACCTTCTCGCCGATGCCGGCGACCGCAGAGGAGGTTGCCGCCTCGTCCAATGGCGGCCAGATGGCGACGGGCTACCTGGCGCAGCTCACCGACGCCGCCGAGGGGATGGACTCCGCCCCCGCGCCCGCGCCAGTCCCCGCGGTCTTTGCCAACGCCACCGCGCCAACCGTGCCGGCCATGCCCGGCGTGCCCGCGCCGCCCTCCGCGAGCGTCGCTGCGGCGGTCGCCGCGGCCGCCGCGTCGTCTGCTGCAGCGCAGGTCAACCAGCCGAGGGTGGAGGTGCTGCCGAGCGGCCTCGGCGGCCTCGGCGGGCTCGGCGGCGGAGCCGCATCGTGATCGGACCCGCCCTCGCCCTCTCGCATGTCTTTGGGCAGGTTGAGGGCGGCCGAGGGCGCGGGAGCGCAGGGTGTGGAGGAGGCAGCAGGGCGGCTGGCCGGCGAGGCGACCCTCGCCTGGTCGCCGTGGTGGCCGCCGCCGGCGGGCGATGCAACGGTCCGCCGGCGCGCGCATCTGAGCAGGGAGATCGGAGGTGGTCCGGGTCCCGGGAGCGAATGCATAATATAGAGAGGAGGCCGGAAGATAGAGCGGATCGCGCTGCTGCTTACCGCGACCGGGGAGAGTCGTTCTGAGAGTCCAAGAGTGTGACTGAGACATGTGCCGTGCGCCTGGATTAGAGTTGGACGCGCTTGACGAACACATGATGTGCCCGTTTTTCACTGGCCCTCGTCGCACCGTCGCGGTCGCGGCGGGGCGCTCGCCCCGCCGGCATCGAGCCGGGGAGGGTGCCTGAGCCCTGGCTGTCAGGCTGTCACCTGTCAGGTGCTGTCAGGTGATCTGTCGGTCTGTCGGGCAGCTGTCAGGCACTGTCAGGTGCCTCTGTCAGACCAGCTGTCAGGTGCTGTCAGTGCTGTCGGGTGCTGTCGGGTGCGTGTCTGACAGGCGAGGGGATCTGTAGCTGTCGGGTGCTGTCGGAGCTGTCGGGTGTTGCTGTCAGACGCTGTCGGAGCTGTCAGAGCTGTCAGGCTGCTGCTGCTGTCAGACGTTGGGCTGTTGCTGTCAGGTGCTGTCAGGTGGTGCTGTCGGGGTGCTGTCAGGCTCTGACACACACCAGCCACACTTATGACACTATCAAGAGGAGACCAGCAGGACTCTACTACACATGCTCTCAGCCTCTCCTCCTACACGGCGTGATCACGCCGGCGCCGCGGCGGCCGCCTGGGGAGCGCATATGGCGGCGCAGGCGCAGGCGGCGGCGGCGGCACAGACGGCGGCGGCCACCCCCACCCAGACGCCGTAGGCATATGACTGTAGGGCCCCAGAAGGCTAGCTGGTAGCTTCATTTGTAGTAGCACAGCCGCCGGTGCTAGAGAGGGGTCCCCGCAGACGCGCAGAGGTGTGGCGGGACGGGAGGGTTGTCGGTTGAGAGAGAGACCCATGACCATCCCATGACTACATGGATCACACTCACATGTCTTTGCATGTAATTTTGTTATACCCTCATGGGGCACAAGAAAGAGGCTCTACGGGGTCTGTGTACGGTCTGTGCTGCTGTCGGGCTGTCAGCGCTGCTGTCAGGCCACTGTGTGCTGTCGGGCTGTTAGGCAGCTGTCAGGCTGTCACGTTAGCGCCTGACAGCGACGGGACCCCTCGCCTGTCAGACTCTGCTATCAGGCTGTCAGACACGTGCTGTCAGACTATCGCAGAGAAAGTGCTGTCAGCGCTGTCAGGCTGTCGGGCACTGTCAGGCGCTGTCCGGGGTTTGCTGTCAGGCTGTCAGACCGCGGCTCAGGAGGGTGCACCACCCGCCCCCAAACGCGGGTCCGGACCCCCCTCGTCGCCAGAGAATCCCTCCAGAGAGCTACCCACCGCTCGGGCCAGAGAGCTACCCACCGCGCAGACCCCAGAGACTCCCTCCAGTACGCTCCCTCCCTCGCCCGCCCCCCCACCCCCCGCCCCCCGCCCGGTTGCCACTGCGCACAGCGTCCTTTTTCGCGCGGCTAGGCCGCCTCCGCCTTGGCCCTCTCAGCGGCCGCTGACGCGCGCCTCGCCTTGGCGGCAGCGACCGCCGCCTCGGCTGCCTCCTCTGCTTCCTCTGCCGCCGCCGCTGCTGCCGCTGCTGCACCTGCCGCTGCTGCCGCCTGCGCCGTCGCAACGGCCGCCTCCTCCTCCGCTGCCGCGGCCGCCGCCTCCTCCTCTGCCGCTGCCAGAGCGTCGGCCTCGGCTTCCGCCTCCCGGCGCGCCTCCGCTGCCACCAAGGCTGCCTCCTCACCCGCCTCCGCCGTCTCCTCCTCGCTTCCCTCACTCGCCGCCTCGGCCTCCTCTCCCAACGCCTCCGCCAACCCCGCGACCGACGTCTCCGCCGTGATGCCGTACCGAATCCGCTCCTCGTGGAGCGTCTCGAGAAGCCTGATCAACCCCTCCCTGTCCAACTTCGCGGGCTTGGCTGCAGCTGCCTCTGACGCCGCCTCGGGATCCTGCGACGACCCAGCGCCGCCACTCCCGCCGCCCTTCTTCTTCTTCTTCCCCTTCTTGCCCTTGCCGCGCTTCTCCGCCTCGACCTCCGCCAGCAGCTCCTCGGCGTGCCGCGCCGCCTCCGCCTCCGCCGCCGCCCTCTCCGCCGCCCTCTCCGCCGCCCCCGCAGCCCACGCCGCCTCCTTCACCGCCTTCTCTGCCGCCTTCTTGGCTGCTGCCACGGCCGCCGCGTGCTCCTCGAGGGCGCGCACGCACTCGGTGTGGCCCTTCTCCTTGGCAAGTTGCAGCGCTGTGCGTCCAGACTCCGTGCTCAACGTCGCGTCGGCGCCCGCCCGCAGCAGGCAGTGGAGAGCGGCGGGGTGTCCCTTGACAGCGGCGAACATCAGCGCGGTGAAGCCGCTGCTGTTCTGCTGGTTGATCTCTGCGCCGTGCCGCAGCAGCAGCTCGACCACCCGCTCGTGGCCTTGTCGGGCGGCCAACATCAGCGCGTTCCAGCCGGCATTGTCCTGCAGGTTGATCTCCGCCCCGTGCTGCAGCAGCGTCGCGGCCAGCCGCTCGTGGCCGTAGAAGGCGGCGAACATCAGCAGCGTAATGCCGCTCACACCCGCACGAGTGAAAGTCGCGTCCACCCGCCCGCCGCCGTCGAGCCACACCAGCACCGCCGCCTCTTCGCCTTGCTTAGCCGCCGCCACGACCTCCTCGGGGACGGCCTCCTCGCCCGTTCCGCTCTCCACGCCGCCAGAAGAGGACGCGGCAGTAGGTGCCGCCGCTGCCCCCTTGCCCGAGGCGGCACCGCCGTCCGCCCCTGCGCCGCCCGCCGCGCCGATGTCCTCGGGAACAGGCCCGCTGCTGCCGCCCGAAGCGCTGCCTGCCCCCGCGCCGCCCGCCTCGACCGCCGCCGCGTCGCGCCTCTCCGCCGCCACCTCGCCGAGAAACGTCTTGACAGCGGCGACGCACTCGGTGTGGCCCTTCTCCTTGGCGATCTGCAGCGCTGTGTGGCCGTCCGCAGTGCGCAGCGCCATGTCTGCGCCCGCCCGCAGCAACTGGAGCACGACGACAGGGTGGCCGTAGAAGGCGGCGCTCGCGAGCGCAGTGTAGCCGTTGCCGTCCTGCAGGTCGATCTCTGCCCCGTGCCGCAGAAGCAAGTCGACCACGCGCTCGTGGCCCGTGACGGCGGCGAGTATCAGCGCAGTGCAGCCGTCTCTGGCTTGAAGATTGATCTCCGCGCCGTGCTGCAGAAGCGTCTCGACCACCTGCACGTGGCCTTGGTCGGCGGCGGCAATCAGCGCCGCATCGCCGTTGCTACTTTGTGCGTTCGCCTCCGCGCCGCCCTTCAGCAGAACCTCGACCAGCTGCTTGTGACCGTTGGCGGCGGCGATCAGCAGGAGCGTAAAGCCACTCACACCGCCACGCACGCACGTCGCATCAACCCGCCCGTCCCCGGCGAGCCACGTCTGCACCACGCTCACCTTGCCGTTCACCGCCGCTGTCTCGATCTTTTTCGGCAGCGCGAGCGGCGCAGCCTCTGGCGCCGTCGAAGCGCGTCCGCGCCGGGAGGCGGCTGAGCCAGCCAGCTTTTGTCGGCCAGGCATGGGAGCGCTCGTAGAGCCCTCAACCAAATCGCTGTTGGCATGAATGGCGCGCGCGGAATAAAGAATTTTACGGTCCGCTCAGCTTGACGGGAGAATGCGATCCGTTATCGTGAAAAAAAATGGGCGCGATGAGACGAGAGGAGACGGGCTCGACTATAGGCTCTAGGCACTGGGCGATAGCCGCTCGAGACGATACCTCATTGCCCCGGCGCCCACGTCTCGACCTTCTTGGGCAGCAGCTGGTTGGACAGGTCCTCCCCGTGGCCTAGGCAGGCGTCCTCGCCCTGGCCCCAGGTAAACACGGCGCCGTCGGTGGCGAGGGCGAGGCTGTGCCCGCCTCCCGCCGACACAGCGACGACGCGTTGCCCCGCCAAGGCCTCGATCTTCATTGGCAGCAGCTGGCTCTGCGTGTCGCCGTGGCCCAACCTGCCGTAGCCTCCATTGCCCCAGCTCCAGACAGCTCCGTCGGCCGTGCGGGCGATGCTGTGGCAGGATCCAGCCGACGCAGCGACGACGCGCTGGTCAGCCAAGGCCTCGACCTTCTTGGGCAGCAGCTGGTTGTGGCCGTCGCCGTGGCCCAACTGGCCATGGTATCCGTCCCAGCCCCAGCTCCAGACGGCGCCGTCGGTGGTGATGGCGAGGCTGTAGCTGCCTCCAGCCGACACAGCGACGACGCGAAGGCCAGCGATGCCCTCGATCTTCTTCGGCAGCAGCTGGCTCTGCTGGTCGCCGTGGCCCAGCCGGCCTTGGCCTCCGTGGCCCCAGCTCCAAACGGCGCCGTCAGTGGTGATGGCGAGGCTATGGTAGTCCCCAGCCGACACAGCGACGACGCGCTGGTCAGCAAAGGCCTCGACCTTCTTGGGCAGCAGCTGGCGCTGCGTGTCGCCGTGGCCCAGCTTGCCTAAGCCTCCACCGCCCCAGCTCCAGACGGCGCCATCGGCGGTGAGGGCGAGGCTGTGCATTTCCGCAGCCGACGCAGCGACGACGCGCTGGCCCGCCAAAGCCTCGACCTTCTTGGGCTGCAGCTGATTCTGCTGGTCGCCGTGGCCCAGCTGGCCTTGCCATCCCAAGCCCCAGCTCCAGACAGCGCCGTCGGCGGTGTGAGCGAAGCTGTGGCCATCTCCAGCAGACACGCTCACGGCGCGCTCGTCACCCAGCGTCGACGGGAGGCGGGTCGGCGTGTTGAGCCGCGTCACGCCCTCGCCGTGCCCGAGGAGCCCTGGAAAAATCACGTGAGGCGTCCAGCTCTCAGCCTTTCCGCACGACGAGAGCCGCCCCTCGCCGGCGATGAAGAGGCTGTGCCGAAAGCCTGCCGCCGCCCTGGCCGGCGGGTTGGACTCGCGCAGCAGCGACGAATAGCACAGCCACCGCACGGCGCAGCCCTCGCCCTCTGGCTGCGCCGGCAGCTCGTAGCCGCGCTCTTGCGCCCACAAGCGGATGCCCTCCAGCGCAAGCGAGGCGTGGAAGAGGAGCGAGACGGCCGCGACTCGAGCGATGTCGGCGGGGTCGCAGCGAGAGACGACGCGCACGAGGAGGTCCGTGGGGAGGTCGAGGAGGCGGGTGGGCGGCGTGCTCGGCGAGGGCGCGGCGGTGGCGGCGGGGGCGAGGCTGCGCGAGCGGCGCGGCGGGGCAGACATCGCGAGATAAAGAAAACAGACTTCACGCTTTTTTTCTTTGTTTTTCCGAAGAGTTGGCCGATCGGAAAGCCTTGACTAAATCGTTGCGCGGCCTTCGGGCGGGGCTGCGCCTCGGTGCCCCCCACCCCCCACCCCCCACCCCCCAGCATCCATGGAAGCCCCCAAGCATCCATGGAAGCCCCCAAGCATCCATTGAGACCCCCCAGGGAGACCCCCCAGGGAGACCCCCCAGGGAGACCCCCCAGGGAGACCCCCCAGGGAGACCCCCAAGGGAGACACCCCAGGGAGACCCCTCGCGGCAAACGGAGTCCCTCCGACGGCTAGAAAAGAGGATCCGACGTTTCGCCATCACAGCCGATCACCGCCGGACGCCTAAAATCGGCGACGAACTATGAGCGACCCCCCCGATGCTGCGTGGCTTGACGCTCTCTTGGGCGGGACCGACGGCGTGGAGATCCCGCCTCAGTCGCAAGGCGTTGGTTCAATCGCGCTCAGTCAGATGTACCGTGACGCAGCCATGCTGGAGCAGGAGTCGTTGGCACTCGCCGCCGAGTCGCCGAAACGCCGATTTGAGTCCGAGATGCCCTCGGCAGTCCCCAAGATGGCGAAGACGTCTGTCTCTCAGACGCACGTCTCGACTCCCGCCACGGCCTCGCCTGCCGGGCCCCAAAACGCCGGCAACGGAGGGCGGTGCTTCAGGTGCGGCCGGGCGGGCCACTGGTCCCGCGACTGCACCCACATTGCAATGGCCATGACCGCTCGCATGTCCTCGCCCTGCCACGTCTGCGGCGGCAGGATCAACCCCACCTCCGACCGCATCTGCCGGCTCAGCGTCGGGCCGTACGCGGGCAAGTGGGCGCACCACAGCTGCGCTCTCAACCATCTCGTCAACCTCGGCTTTATCACCGCCGAGGACGCGAGCAACGTGGAGATCTGAGCCCGCCCTGCCCACACTGTGGTTGGCGAGGACGAGGTGGTCGTCCTTTCTGCACCGAAGCCCTCGGATGAAGCTCGATGGCATGCGCGCCTCGGCCCGAGCCGATGACTGCCGATCTGAGCGGAGCGGTAGGGTCGACCAGCGAGATCCAGAAGGCATGGAGAAGGTCCTCTTGCTCTGTCCACGGCTCGGTGCTGCCCCTCCTGCTCCGGTCGCATGTTGAGAGGTACTGGTTGATAGCAGCCGAGATATCGTCATCTGTACCGGCCGAGTCGTCGACGCCATCTCCGCGCCGGTACGTCCGCGCCTTCAGCGCCGCAGCGCGCTTGCTGTTGTCGGGGTCCGTGCACTCCATCACTGCACTGCGCACGGGATCGGGGCTGAGCTGCGCGGCGGTGACATTCCAGATGGCCTCGACGACCTGAGACGGCATGCGCTCTTGAAGGTACTTCTTGAGCCGTGGGAGTGCTTTTTGCACGCGTCTGCTTTGCGTTTGCCTACGGTGATCTCACCCATTTTGCCGCGGTCCAGTGTTGCACGCCAGCGCCGCATGATCAGCTCGAACTCGTCCGCGGCTGTCCAGCCATTGGTCTGCACGGGACGCTGTCCTGGCGGGGTGTGGTGGCGAGCGCGAAGTGCACTCACCAGTTCCCGAAGTGCCACTTCCGGGGATCCACGTCCACCAGTGAGCCACACATACCGGACATCATCACGTCGGCGTTGGCGTCAGGATAAGCGCTAGGGAGCGGATCGCATTCATCGCAGCCTCCGAGGCCGTCGGGAGCTAGGAGCGGGGCGGGGCCGTGATTGCACGTTCCACAAAAAGGGGACCACCGAAAACATAAAAAGGCTGGCCACGCTTTGCGAGCTGTGCCCGTGGCGCGTGAGCTTGTGGAGACAGACACTTGGCACACACACTCAGCGCCATGCGCAACTCCACGAGCGTGGGTTCTGGAAGACTAGCGAGAGCAGATGTGATGTATGGCTGGAGGCTGCGGCCCTGCAACTTGCACGCGCGGCGCCCACCTCTAACCCGACGTCGTCTTAAAGCTGCCAGTCCGCAGCCTCCAACCAGCCCACAACCGCAACGCTTCCGCCCCTCGCCGCCCAGCCGGCCTAGTCGTCCCAGAGCAGCATCGGCTCCACCAGCACCGGCGCGGTGGCGCCCATCCGGTGAGCGCGCGCGACGACCTGCGCGAGCCGCGCCTACATCTCGGGCGATCTCGGGGTGAATCTCGGCGCCCATCTCGGGCGACCTCGACGACGGACTTGCGCGACCTCGTCGTCGATCGGGTTGACAAGGAAGAGGTGCGTGACGAAGGAGAGGTCCAGGCCTACGGGAGAGCTCCAGGAAGGCTCGAGAAGGAGGCTCCCAGAAGGTGCGTTTTGAAGGAGAGGTCGAGGCCGTGGCTCCCGTCCTCGCGCAGCGTGAGGATGTGCGTGTCGGTGCGCCGCTCCTCCCACGCGACGCCTAGCCTCGGGCCCTCTCGGGTCCTCTCGCGCCCTCTCCTCAGCCCGAGGGGGGAGGGCCGAAGGGCACCCTGCAGCACGGGCACGCTGCCGAACGGCACCGGCGGCGAGCGCCCCAGCCAACAGGGGGGGCAGGCGCGCTGCGGCGCCCGCCACGCGCCGCACTTTGCCCACGCGCGCAGCTTGGCCGGCAGCATGTCGCCCGCCGGCCCGCCGGCTGGAGGAGGGGCGGCGCCCGCCGGCCAGCGGGGCGGAGGCAGCTTGCTGCCCGCGAGCGGGCCCGCGTCGATCCAGACCTGTCGAGACAAGGCGAGGGCGTGCGGAGACGTCGAGGCGTGGGTGGAGGGTGCCGCAGCGTGCAGTCGGCCGCACCTCCCGCACGGCGGCGGTGAGGAGGGCCGGGTTGCGGTACGTGTCGAAGTCGCGCAGCTGCCAGCGGCGGTACGCGCCGCCGCCGCCCTCACGCACGAGCACGCGCTCCTCCTCGACGAGCCACTAGGGAGGGGGGAGGGGGGTAGGGGGGTAGGACGAGCCACTAGGGAGGGGGGAGGGGGGAAAGGGGGGGGTAGGGGGGTAGGACGAGCCACTAGGGGGGTAGGGGGGTAGGGGGGTAGGGGGGTAGGGGGGCAGGGGGTGGGGGTGGGGATAGGGGCTGGTCGTTAGTCGTTAGGGTGTAGCGGTCAGGGGTAGGGGGTAGTCGTAGGGTGTAGCGGTCAGGGGTTAGGGGGGGCGGATGCCGTCGCCGCCCACTCCTCCGCGGAAGGGTCCGCCTCCGCGTCGAGCGGGTCGCCCCCGTGCGGCGTCAGCGTCACCTGGAAGAGGAAGCGGTCGCACGCGTCGTGCTCCACCTGCGGCTCGTTCTCGTAGCCGCAGCGAGGGCAGCGCCGGAAGGTCTGCTTGTTGTGCCTACCCTCGGGCAATCCCGGGTAATCTCGGGGGATCTCGGGGCCCTTCGAACGCGCCGCTTTGCTGTGCCGGAAGCGCGCGAGCTCGGAGGAACGGAACGGTCCCCAGTGCTCAGCGACGGCGCCGCTGCCGAGGGCTAGCGTCAGGTGGCTGCTCACCTGGCAGAGATTCCCCGAGATTACCCGAGATTACCCGAGATTGACCGAGATTGCCCGAGAGTGCCCGTCAGGTGGCTGCTCACCTGGCTGAGGTCGTTGTCGAACTCGGAGAAGACGACTGCCTTCGGCCGTGGCCTGCCCGCCCCCTCCTTCCACCCGCGCCGCGCCGCTTGCATCACCTCGATCACCCGCCTCGCCACGCCCTCGCACACCCGCGATGTGTACGCGCGCTGGCCCGCCGCGCCGCCCGCCTCGCCGGGCAGCTTCGGGAGGATGGCGACGAAGAGGGGCAGCATCACCGGCGCGGGCAGCGCGAGGTCCGCCTGCGAGTGCGCGCGCGGGAACTCTCGGGCAATCTCGGGCAATCTCGGGCAATCTCGGGCAATCTCGGGCAATCTCGGGTAGTCTCGGGGGCGGCATCGCGGGAGGTGAGGGTTGCCGAACACCGCGACCAGCGCGTGAAGCAGCTGAGTACGGGCGAGCAACATGCCGCCTCGAGTGCCAGCTGGAGCGGCAGGGGGTGTGGGTTCCGCATCTGCGCGGAGGCGACACACCTTGGTGTGTCTGACCATCAGCGGCTTGAGCGTGCGCACGAGCACCTCGCGCGCCGCCGCCCGCCGGCGAGCGTCCGCTGCGGCGGGCTTGGCGACGGCGCGTGAGAATGCGCGCTCGCCCTCTGCCTCGGCGGTGGCCTCGTCGGCGCCCTCACTGTGGACATACGGCGAGGCGGTGCGGAGCGGAGCGCCGTACGTCGGCTCGCGGAGGAAGGCGAGCAGCCGCTGCAGCTGCTGCAGCTGCTTGGCGGGCTCGCCCGCACCGACCGGCGTTCCTGCGGGAAGCTTCGGAGCGGGCTCAGGACAGGGTCATGGGGGAGGGCCTCCTCGCCGCAACCGACCGGCGCGCCCGACATGACCCACCGCCGCTCGGCCGGCAGGGTTGCGATGAACCGATTCGCCTTGTCGCTCCAGCCCGCCGCCTCGTTTGCCCCAAGCTCGTGCCCCTCGTCAACCACCAGCCGGAGCCAGCGCAGCCGCATCAGTGAGCTGAGGCCGCCCGGCGGCCCGCCGCCGCGCGTCTTGTGCAAGAACTCGGACTGGCACCGCTCGTAGGTCGTGACGACGATCGAGCACGCGCCGAGCAGGTACTCGTCGGGGAGCGGCGGCCACGCCTCCACCTTTGGAAAGGCGAGGTGAGGTCAGGCCAGGCTGCACCGAGACGGGTGCCACGGGCGATTGAGAGTGCAGCGGCGGTGCACGTGGGTGACGCGTGCGAGGAGTGTGCGTGCGTGTGCGTGCGTGTGCGTGCGCGCGCGCGTGTGTGTGTCCACCTTTGGCTTGGAGGCTAATCTCGGGTAATCTCGGGTAATCTCGGGTAATCTCGGGTGTCCACCTTTGGCTTGGAGGGGAGCCGGAAGCCGCCGGCGGCCTGCCAGTCGCCGAGACCGTCGATCCAGACCGCGCAGCAGCTAGGGCTGCCGTCGTCTCCCCGCCGTAGCTGCAGCACGGCGGGGTCGACGTGCCTGCGGGACGTGTCGCGGACGTGTCGCGGACATGTCGCGAACGTGTCGCGGACATGTCGCGGACGTGTCGTGGACGTGTCGTGGACGTGTCGTGGACGTGTCACCGGCAGAGCTGCTCGTGCCAGTGCTCGAGCAGCGAGGATGGGACGATGATCAGGGTGGCGCTCGTGCCGATCAGCCGCCGCTCCATCTGCACGCGCTTGCCGAGCGCCTGCGGGCGCGTCGCTCGGAACTTGGAAGGCGTCTCGAGAGGTGTGTCGAAGGTGTCTCGGAGGTGTGTCGAAGGTGTCTCGGAGGTGTCTCGGAGGTGTGTCGGAGGTGTGTCGGAGGTGTCTCGGAGGTGTGTCGAAGGTGTCTCGGAGGTGTCTCGGAGGTGTGTCGGAGGTGTGTCGGAGGTGTCTCGGAGGTGTCTCGGAGGTGTGTCGGAGGTGTGTCGGAGGTGTGTCGAAGGTGTCTCGGAGGTGTCTCGGAGGTGTGTCGGAGGTGTGTCGGAGGTGTGTCGGAGGTGTGTCGGAGGTGTGTCGGAGGTGTGTCGGAGGTGTGTCGGAGGTGTGTCGGAGGTGTGTCGGAGGTGTGTCGAAGGTGTGTCGGAGGTGTCTCGGAGGTGTGTCGAAGGTGTCTCGGAGGTGTGTCGGAGGTGTGTCGGAGGTGTGTCGGAGGTGTGTCGGAGGTGTGTCGGAGGTGTGTCGGAGGTGTGTCGGAGGTGTGTCGGAGGTGTGTCGAAGGTGTGTCGGAGGTGTGTCGGAGGTGTCTCGGAGGTGTCTCGGAAGTGTCTCGGAGGTATCTCGGAAGTATCTCGGAGGTACATGTATCTCCTCGGAGGTATCTTTGGAGAGGACTAGCGAGGAGGTGACTAGGAAGCGTCTGGCGGCCGTGCACGAAGGCGCGCGCCGTCTTATTGAAGCCTCGCTGGCGCGGGTCGAGCCCCTCCCGCACGGCCAGCAGGTGGAGGCGCACAGGCTCGCGCACCGCACGCACCTGGTAGGGTCCGGTGGTAGGGTAAGGTAGGGGAGGTAGGCTTCTCCACACACACAAGGTGGTGGGGCAAAGGCCAGGCTAGCCCTCGCGACTCCACGTCTAGAAAGACACTGAGCCCAACGGCATTCCCCACGGCATTCAAAGTGCAAAGGCCCGGTGCGCGTAAATGAGCGGTAGCGCGGTGTGAGAGGGCGCACCTGCTCGATCGACGCGCGAGCGCCGCCGCGCCTCTCCACCGCCACTCGCACCACCGCCTCCACGTCTGTCTCAAACGCCTCGATCGTCGGGTAGTCGCCCGGCGCGCCCTGCCGGTTTGCGAACGCAGCGAGGCGGCGGAGCTGCGGCGGCTCGGGACCACTCGCCCAGCCGCGCTCGAAGCCGAGGCGGCGCAGAAAGTTGGTCAGCTTGAGAAGCTGCTGCAGCCCTGCAGGGTTTGTGCGCAGCAACGGCCAGCCACGCGAGTCCCAAAAGACGGGCGGCAGTGCGGGCGGCGTGCCTAGCAGGGAGCTGGCCGCGACGTGTCTCGGACACGGCCGCTGCGCAGAGAGAAGCGGGGTGGGGGGTGGGGCGTGCCGACGGTCGAGAGGACGAGAGCGAGCATCGTCACCGTCTTGCCGAGGCCGGGATCGTCGGCGAGGATGCCGCCGCGCATCGCGCCAAACTCCCACCCCGCGGGCGCCTCGGCCGCGTGCATTACCCGCAGCGAGCGCAGCTGGTGCGGGTGGAGCCGGCACCCGTGCAGCGCGCCGAAGTGGGTCCGGAAGAGGCCGAGGTACTTGAGTCGCGGGTGCGCGGCGAGCGCGTCGCGGACGGCGCGGCTGAGCCGCGCGAGCGGCGCGATCTGCGAGCGGCTCAGCACGTGCGGCTCGAGGCTGTCTAAAAAGTCGGGCAGCGCAAGGAGGTCGCCCCAGCTCGCACAGCTACTGCCGGCCGCTCCGCCGGCCGCTCCGCCGCCGTCGTACTCATAGTCCGAGCCCCATCCAGATTCGTCCGAGCCGTAGCCCTCTTCGCCCACCGCCGCAGCCGCCGGCTGCGCCTGCGCCTGCGCCTGCGCTGCCGCGGACGCTGGAGGCGCCTCGGGAGGGCGAAGAGCCGCAAAGACGTCGTCGATTACGCTCTGCATTAGGACAATATCCGTGCTGTGCAATGCAAGCGGGAACAGGGCGCCGTCCTGTGCGGAAAGAACGCGGACTGGCGCGGACTGGCACACTCACCGGCCTTCTGTGCGGGAAAGAATTTGATGCTATTGTGTTAGATCTCGTGCCCCTTGATCTTTCGCCGCCGACTCAAATGAGATAGGTCGCGGCTCGGTTCTCGCACAGAGAACATGTGCTCCACGGGTGCTCTCGCTAAGAGTGCTGCCTCTCACGCGCCGGGCAGCGGGGAGGGGAGGGGGAGCCCGAGCCGCTCGGAGGTCGGCTGCGCCTCCTCCAGCGAGATGTACTCCACCGCCTCCCCGTCACGCAGCCGCGCCGCTCCCTGCCCGTCCGCCATCCACCCGACGCCCTCGCCGACGGGGGCATTCTGCTTGAAGAAGCCCGCCCCTCCTTCTCACCCGCCTTGTACTCGCCGTCGTACAACTCTCCGTCAGGGTAACGGAAGACGCCGCGCCCCTCGAACAAGCCCGCCTTCCACTCGCCGTCGTAAACGTTGCCGTTAGCGGCCCGGAAGACGCCGCGCCCCTCCTGCTTATCCGCCTTCCACTCGCCGTCGTAGACCCCGCCGTCGGCGAACCGGTAGACGCCGCGCCCCTCCTTCTTACCCGCCTTCCACTCGCCCTCGTAAACGTTGCCGTTGGCGTACCGCATGACGCCGCGCCCCTCCCGCTCTCCCGCCGCGTTGTACCCTTCACCACCTCGCCCGAGCGAGCCATCGCGTTGGTAGCGTAGGCACGGTACAGCTGGACGACCACCGGCTTGTCGCCCTTGCCCGTGAAGGAGGCCGCCTCGATCGCGGCGATCACGCGCTTGTTACGCGGCCCCATCCCCTCGTCGGCGCGGTCCTCCATCTCCGCCACACGGGGCCCGTCGCCGTCGATCTCGACGACCTTGGGCGTCAGCCGCTCTTCCAGCAGCTTGCCCAGCCCTGGGAAGTAGGCGAGCGCCTCAAACGTCGTCCACCTGCCAGCGGAGAGGGGGGGGCGAGGGGGTGGGGGTGGGGGTGTGGGGGTGGGGGGCGGGGGGGAGTAGCGGAAGAGTAGAGCTGTGGTGGTGGTGTGCTGGCGGGGCACCTCTGAGAGCGGGTTGGGGACTCTCGCACGCCGCATCGCGGCGGCGGGGGCGGTAGGAAAGGGTAGAATAGAGGGAGAAGGGGGGGGGGTGCGCACCCGCGAGCGAGGTAAGGGCGGCTGTTGTAGAAGAGGAAGACGGCGATCGCGCCCGGCAACGCGTCTGCTGCAGAGGCTTCCTCGACCGCCTCCTCCGCCGCCGCGTGCGTTGGGACGCGCACGCGCCACCGGCCCTCCTCGTAGCGCGGGTTCTCAAACGCCCCGAGAGCACTGCGCAGCTCGGCCTCGGCGCCGGCGCCGTCGAGCCCGCCGCCCTTCTCGACGAGGATGACCACCTCGCCGTCCAGCTCCGCCGGGCGGGCTGGCACGGAGCGGTGGCGGATGACGATCGTGCCGAAGAGAGAGGCGTAGACGTCGCCCATGACCTGCGGAGGGGCGAGAAGAGGGGAGGCGTGGGGAGAAGCAAGGGCATGCATGTGTGCGGGCGAGAGAGTGGGGAGTAGAAGAGCGGCGGGCGCAGAGGGCGGCGGGGAGAAGGCGGCGCGGACCTTGAGGGCTTGATAGAAGAACTCGTCCTCTGCCGCCGTCCTTGGCTTTTGCGGGAGCGAAGAGAAGCTGCGGAGGGGGGGCGCACGGGGGGGGCGGGGGAGGCGGCAGAGTGTGAGAGAAGCGTCAAGTGAGGGATAGGCGCAGAGGGAAGGCCTGTCCTCCCACGCAGCGCAGTCACTAGGTCTGGGGTGGGTCTGGGGCGGCGGCGCACTCCCAGAAGAGGGCCGTCACGTGCTCGCCGAGCGGGTGGCGCAGGAAGCGCCGCACGTTCGCCAGATACTCTCCAGTCACGTCGGGGTGGTCCGGCGAGGCCCAGCCGTAGGTCAGCCCGGCGACTTCGCGGCACAGCGAGCGCAGCGCCGCAACAGCCTCCTCCGGCGTGAGGAAGATGCGGATGCGTCGCTCCTCCTCCATCCGCTCCAGCGCTTGCCGGCGGAGGAGCTTGGGCAGCATCGCCTCGGAAAGCTCGCTGCGCAGGAACTCGGCGCGGAGCAGCTTGATGGCGCCCGAGCGGAGGGCGGCGACGAGCGCCTCGTCGAGGGCCGCCAGCGGCGGGATGCCCTTGTGGTCTGCGGCGGTGAGCTTGGGCAGCGGGGAGGAGATGGGTAGCAGAGGCTGCATTGCGAGTAGCAACACACGTGTCTTGTGAAGGGAAGTAACGGACACGTGTGTTTCGGAGAATTCTTAAGGCGCAAGGGACAGCGGCATTGTGCAGGTTGAGACTGAACTGGCTCGCCTGCTAACCTCGAAGGGGCTGCCGTCCACGCGTCGCTGCTCAGGCCGGGGGAGGGGGGTTAGAAGATCCCGCTCGTGCAGGTGGGGACCCTGTCCTTCTCCCACCCCTCGTTTGGGTGCCCGTTTTCTTTATTTATGGTTTGAGTTTAGGTTTTGTTATTTGTTGTAAAAATCTGTACGTGATCGCCTGGGAACGTACGTACGGAGGTCGTCGTATGCCCGGCCGAACGAAGGCTGGTCATTGGGCCTGGCCATGACGCTGCGGCTGGCGGCCTTGCAGCTCATCGCCATCGCGCCCGCCCGCTGCTACCACACTGAGCTTCATCATCTCGGACCGCGGCGCCTTCTCGGACCGCTCCGGGCCGCCGTCGTCGCGACCGAGGAGGACCGGTCAGAGGCGGTGCCGACAGCCGCTACCGGGCGCGGCTTTGGCTCCGCGGACGGCGGCGCACGTGGCTTCGGCGAGTGGCAGGAGGAGGACGAGGACGAGGATGAGGAGATTGACAGCGGCATGACTCCGGAGCAGCGCCGCGCGTGGCGGCGCACCGTGATGACGCGGTGGGCCAAGCTCGTGCAGGAGAAGGGCGGCGACGCGGGCGCGGAGGGCGGAGAGGTGGTCGCCGCGTTCGACCGCGTCTCGCTCCGCCTCGGCGAGCGCCTCGTCCTCGCGCCACAGTCGTGGGCCGTGCGGCGCGGGCAGCGACTCGGCGTGCTCGGCGAGTCAGGCTGTGGCAAGTCGATGCAGCTCCGCCTGCTCGCTGGCGAGGCGTCGCCGTCGGAGGGCGCAGTCGTGCGCGGTGAGGCGGCTCATCATATCTCGGCTGCATCTCGGTTGAATCTCGGCTAGATCTCGGCCGCATCTCCCACAGGCCCAGCGGTGCGGGTCGCACTGGTCGACCAGGACGCGCCCAGCCGCCTCCGCGCCTGTCGCCTGCTGGTGTCGGCCTTTGCGCGGGAACAGCTCGCCGGCAGCAGTGGAGAGGAGGGCGGCGGCGGCGGCGGCGGCGGCGGCGGCGGCGGGGCGATGAAGTGCGAGGGCGAGTCGCCCGTGGCGTGGGAGTCGTTTGTGGCGCTGCTGCCGGAGGAGCTGCGACGGCCTGCGGCGCTGGAGGCATATTCGATTCGATTCGATTTGTATTCGATGCGCCCCTCTCTTCGCTGTCGCACGGCCAGCTTCTCACACGCGCCCGCCGCCACCACTCACCTCACACACACCACACTGCACACCACACTGCACACCACACTGCACACCGCACCACACCGCACCACGCGGCGCACTGTGGTCAGTCTGCAGAGTCGCTGTGACCAGGCGCCCCTCTCCTCGCTGTCGCACGGCCAGCTCGTACGCGTCTCGACGGCTCTCGCCCCTAGAAGCGGAACACGGACTCTTGAATTCCCACCAGCGCTCGAGAGGGCACGCACTCCGCCGTATTCGGCCGTAGTCGGCCGTTTTCACTGCATTCGTATCCCGTGTACTCCCGCGGTGGAGGTGTGGAGGGGAGGTGAAGGGACAGGCGTCGGCAGATGTTCTTTCTTCGTGCGTGTGATTAGCGGTGCGATCAACGCGCTGCACGAATGTCGCGGGGCGGGTTGCCGGAATGGTGGCACTGAGGCCCGAGGGGTGCGGGAGGCGCACGGCGGGGGCCGGCCTCGGGGTGAGGGTGAGGCCGGCCGCCGCCACCGGGGGTCGCCGCGCCGTAAAGCGGCCCGCCGGTCTCCCTGCTGGCGGTGCGCGCGGCCGCGCTCAAAGGCGCTGATTGCTCGGCCGCGCGGGGCCAGGTGACTCGCCCGCTGGAAGGGTGGTGCACGGGGTTTGCGGCGGGGTCCCCAACGTCCCCGGCGGCGGCCCGCTGGCGGGCCGCCGCCGCCGCCAGGGCGGCGGCGATGACGGAGAGCTCGTGGTGCTCGGTGTCGCTCTCCATCTCGTCGAAGAGGTCGCTTGCCCTCTGCTCGAGGGCTCGTGCCCATGCCTTGTCCCGCAGGGCTCGGACCTGCGCGCGGGTGCGCTCGAACTCCGCTGGCATCTCCGCGAGCTCGGTGTGGTCCGCCCGCCTCTCGGGCCTGTGGGACGTGCCGTCCAGGGCGACGTAGCGATCTCCCTTGTCTGAGGGAAGACCACCATCCGTGTCTGCTCCCTCCCCCACGGCCCGCTGCGGTGGGGTCGGTGCGCCACGCCGTGCGGCGTACTTGTACGTGTCGTGCAGCGCCGGGGGCTTGCGCGTGCGGAGGGCACGCGCCCCGGGCACGGCGCCCGCCTGGACGCCGCCGCCCAAGGCAGCTGGCGTCAGGAACGCTCGGCTCTGCAGCCGCAACCGCTCCTCCTTGGGGACAGCCTCGCCGGGTGCGTCGTGCGCCTTGTCGCCCGGCGACGGCGCAGAGTGCCCCCGCGCGTCGTGGTACCACTGCCTGTCGTGGCCTCGTGGCTCGTGGCGGTGATCGTGACCCGCGCCGAGGGCCTCCTTGGCACCGCGTGCCACGTGCATGCCCACAGGAGCGTGCGTTCCTGCAGTGCGGGCTCCGGCTTGGCCCGCGACGCTCGCGTTGTCGTCACGGTCCGGTGCCTCGGGGGCCCATGCCCTCGGCGGGTCGCCCGACCCCATGGTTGTATGGTTTGCCTCGGCGTCTCCCGCCGGTGCGTTCTCTGGGGCTCCCCGCGAAGGGGCGCCTACGGCCGCCCTCGCAGCCCATGCCCACGAGCTAAACCCGTGGTCGGCCTCGAACTCTAACCCCCAGGGGTCCGCCTCGTCGGGTCCGCCCGAGCCGTCGGGCCGGTGGGACGCAAGGCTCGCCTCGACGCTTCCCGTCGACGCGCGCCTCAGGGCTCCCGTCGATCGGAAACCCTCGGTCGATGCCGCAGCCCATGCCGCTACATCTAACTCTTGGAGTTGACTATGGCCGAGCGTCCCCCGGGGGTGCGGCTCGAGCCAGTCCGGGTCGTCGGACCCGGAGATTGTGTCGCTGATCACACCGTCCTCCGATGGCGATGCGCTTCTCCAGGACTCCTCTCGCAAGGGGCCAACAGGAGGAGGCGCGTCCACTGGAAGGGACGCTGCTCTCTCCACTGGAGGGTAGGGTTCCACCCCCGGGCTCGCTCCGTGCGAACTCGCTGTAGGGGTAGTTTCATTCATAGCTATGGACCCGCGCGCGCCGCGCAGGCCGATTGCGGGGCTCTCCCACAACCACGCTGACCAGATCCCCGGACCAGCGACAGAGGCGAAACGACACTCGGCCCGCCGACACAATTCGGCCACTGGACACCATAACTAAATGCGGCGCAGGCCAATCTCAAGTTCCCTTCTCAATTCTTCGCGGGTTTTGGTGCAGTCACCTTCCCCCGCGACAGCAGCGGACAGCGTCCCGCCTAGGGACCTGAGGGGGTTTGTGGGGTAGTAGTGGGGTAGTTCGGCACTGCGCTGCTTCCCACGACGCCATGCTCCGCCACGATGAGCTGCCTCTCGGCGAACGCCCACGGGTGGCCGCTCGTCCCCGCTGCCCAGTAGCCCTCGCGGTTCTGGTGGTCGCGCTGCGCCCATTGCGCCGCCCGGGCGACAAAGCCCTGGCACGCCGCCTGCACCCGCGTGCACGGGATGAAGTCGTTGGTGTTGAAGGGCAGCCCTCGAAGGTCTGGTCGCGTCGCGCCCGGGCGAAACGCGGCAAAGTATTCACGCGCGTCCAGGCACTCCTGGTGGTCGCAACAGCCGCGCCGCCCTGCGAGGATGGCGTCCATCCCCGCCGTGATGAGGGTGGTGCAGCCCGGGGGGCGCTGCCCACGTCCAAGCACGAGCCCGCGGCGAATCCTCGCGAGGCCCACCAGGCTCTCGCGCGCAGCGATTAGCGCGGGTTCGATGGTGACGTGGCATCTCGCCTCGGACGGTTGAGATCTGTGCAGCTGCTCCAGGAACGCCGACGTTAGCAACGGGGCCGTGCTGTCGAGGTCCGGCCCGGCTGCTCCCGCCGGCGTCGCGGGCGCGGCCGTGGTGTACTCATCCAGCTCGCTGAGGCGCCCCGGCGCGCAGGCCCCGCACGCGAGCCAAGTCTCCGGCGCGGTGCGCAGGTGGAACTGGCACATGGCGCACGGCAGGCGGAGCGTCCCGTTCGGGGTCGAGGGGCGCACGCACGCGGGGAAGCTTGAGCAAGGGCGCGCGGGCTGGGGCGCGACCGCGTAGTAGAGCAGTGTGTCGACCGGCTCTCCGACCCGGATGCCCGAGCATGAGGCCGTCACGCGCGTCACGGCACCCCGGGGCTCGACCCGGTAGAGCACGTTGCCGTAGTGCGAATAGGGCCGGAAGCTGCCCTGTGAGTAGCCCGCCCTCCTAGGCGTGCCTGTCGCTGACGCGTGCGCGTCCTCCCTCGCTCTGCGCAGCGTAAGGCCGTCACAATCGCGCGGCAGGTTGAGCAGCGGCGCCAGCACCGCTTCGAAGAAGGCGGCGAACCAGGGGCCGTGCAGCGTGGCCAGGGGGCCCATGCAGAACGTGGTGTGCCGCCCCCGATCGTCGCGCAGGACGATGCGAGGGCCCACGTGCTCGCTCGCAGTATCGCATCCGCACACCAGTGGCCACCCCGGGTGGTCCGCCTTGTCGCAGGCGACGCACCGCACATGCGCGCCGTGCGCCGGGCAAGCGCCTGTGGTCCCTGAGGGGCTCGAGGCCCCACCCCATTTCCGGCGCGATGGGGTTCTCCCCACGCCTTTCTGGGTCGTACACCCAGGGCGCTACCTCGAGGACCTGGTCGCCGCGCATTATGTCCAGGCCGGCGTCGGCCTCGGTGACGAACATCCGCCCGTCAAGCGAGAAGTGCAGCGCGCCGTGCTCGCCGGCCCAGACGGTGATCACGCGCATCCCGTACGGGAGAGGCACCGGGCTGTAGTGCTGCAGCCCCGCATGCACCCGCAACTCCACCACCGCGACGGGCTCCCGCGGGCCGGGCTGGAAGAGGTTCGGTGGCGTGGTCGGCGAGGGCGTCGCTGGCTCGAGGTAGTCGGCGGTCCGGTGCGGCGAGTGCGCCTCGTCCTCGCTGTCACCGTCAGTCCCCGAGCCTGCGCCCGCGCCCCTCACCTCTGACAGTTCCCACGGCCCGTTGGGCCTGGGCTCCTGCGAGCGCCGTGCGCACCTCGTCGCCTCCCGCGCGACGACGGGGCTGCTGACCAAGTTGAAGTTGATGTGCCGCTTGGCGTCGCTCGCCGTCTCGAACAGCTTGTGCGCGAAGATGGTGAAGAACTCCGCCGGATTCTCGTACACGTTCATGCCCTTCAGCATGAGTATGAGGACCTGGTCACGCACCGCCCTCCACGCTGCGGCCGTGAGTTTCATTCATAGCTATGGACCCGCGCGCGCCGCGCAGGCCGATTGCGGGGCTCTCCCACAACCACGCTGACCAGATCCCCGGACCAGCGACAGAGGCGAAACGACACTCGGCCCGCCGACACAATTCGGCCACTGGACACCATAACTAAATGCGGCGCAGGCCAATCTCAAGTTCCCTTCTCAATTCTTCGCGGGTTTTGGTGCAGTCACCTTCCCCCGCGACAACGAATTTCGTCAAAATTTCGATTAGGATTAGCTAATGACTGTCATTCTGTCAATGTACAATGAGCAGTGCCGCACTGGCAGTGCCAGTGGCTGCCCGATACTTTGACTGCCAATCAGCGAGAGAGACCACCAGGCCCTGCACGACGCCACGCACCTCCCTCTCGTCGCCCTCGACCGCCGAAACGAGCGACTCCACCACGGCGCGGACCTCCCTCTGCACGCGCGCCTCTTTCGTCTTTGCGTTGCGCCTGCCCCTGTGCAGGCTGCCGGGCGGCCTCCTCGCGCCGGCGCCTGGCCGCTGCTGCGCTGGCCTCTCGCTAGTGCGCACGCAGGAGGCGGAGCACGCAGGAGCCATCGGCGACGGTTCGCGGCAGCGCGGTGGTGTACAGGAGGTCATTTTCTTCTCGAGCGTTAGTGCCAGTGCGCGCCAGTCCCGTGCGCAGTCCTGTGTCCAGTGTTGTGCGAGGGAGTTTTGTGGTAAAATTCTTCTCGAGCGTGACAGCCTAACATGTAATCAACGCACGGAGCCCGAAAGCAGGGTGCCCGAAAGCGTGTAAGGGAGCCGCTGTTGAGCAGAGCCGCTGTTGAGCAGAGCCGCTGTTGAGCACATCGCTGCCGCCACCTCTCCGGAGAGCCGACGCCCAAGGAGTAGTACGTGATGCCGAAGAGCGGCGCTACCGCAACCTCCGTTCTCGCCCGAGCTCTTGCGTGGGGCAAGCCCCGGGGAGCGAGAGCGGCTGATCTCTTCGCCGAAGAGGAAGAGGATGGTCCCCAGGACGACACAGCAGGTCGTCCAGCTGCCTTCGCCACCCGCCACCCGCCAGCACCGCCTCTACCACCGCCCCGTTCCACCCCCTCCGTGCTGCCGCCCCTGCCGCTGCTGTTGGTGGGCTCTCTCGCGCGCGCCCCGGCGCCATCCGATGCCTACTCACAGTCGCGCTCTCCCCGGTGCAGGAGATGCTCAAGTGGGCTGCACCGCCTCCAAGAACAACGAGACGGAGCTGCGCAAGCTCAGGGTCGAGAACCGGTCGCTCAAGGATGAGATCCAGTCGCTCAAGGACGAGAACCAGTCGCTCAAGCAGGACGAGATCCAGTCGCTCCAGGACGACCTCGATGCGGGGGCGGCTTCGATCGCGCCGGCGTTCACGGCGCCGACGGGGGCGGCGGCCTCGTTTGCGGCGGCGACGGTGGCCGTGCGTGCGCCCCCGCCGCCCCCACCGCCCCCGCCGCTGTCGCTGCCGTGCCCGCCCCTCACGGGCAGCGGTGGGACCGACATCGACAAGCAGGACGAGACCCAGTCGCTCAAGGACGAGAACCAGTCGCTCAAGGACCAGCTCCACAACATTGGCACGCCGAGTGCCACCGCCACCTCGCCCGACGGCAAGGCCGACGCATTCCCCGCACCGCCGCCTTCGCCACCGCCACCGCCCGCACACACACACCGCCGCCGCGTCCGCCGCCGCCTCCCTCTCCTCCGCCGCCGCGTCCGCGTCTGCCTCCTTCTTTCCCCGCCGCCTCGCCACCCTCCCCGCCGCCTTACCCCCTCGCTCTCTCTGCTCCTCTCAGGTCGACGCGGAGCCCGCCGCGCAGTGGGGTATCGCTGGCTGGGTGGACTCCCTCGCCCTCACCGAGGTGGTGGCCGAGGCGCTGAAGGAGCCGGCCGGAACCACCGACCCGTTCAAGTACGTGTGCAACCTCTCGCTTGCCGACCTCGAGAGCAAGCTCGAGGCGGTGAAGCTGAGTGGACTCGCTACGCCCCTCTGGTCCGCCATTGAGAAGCTGCGCGGCCAAAGCGCCGCGACCGGGACGGCGCTGAACGCCAAGTTCGCCGCGGAGGGCGACGCGTTCAAGGGTGAGATGGGCTTCGGCGGCGTCGAGCAGTTTTACGGAGGCGTGCTGCACGATAGTAGTTGTTTTGCCCTACTCTTCCACTCTCACCGGCCGGCCCCCGTCCCCTGACCTGTGAGCAGGCCTCGAGAAGCTCATCGGGCCGCCGCTCATGGTGGAGGGCTCGCTCTTCAAGGCCATGGAGACGGAGCACTGCGAGAAGAAGGATGCAGACGTTTCGTTTGGCACCTCCAACGGCATCGAGGGCGCAACCTCCAAGCTCGAGTGGGAGTTTGTCGTCGCGCCCGTGGTCGATAACGGCCGCTACGCCGAGCGCGGCGGCGACTTCCGCACGGCCCACCGCGAGTGGTGCCGTCGGGCGGAGCCGCTCTCTGTCTACCAGAAGAAGATGGCGGGCGAGATGAACCCGAGGCTCGTTGAGGCGGGGCAGGCGCCGCTCACGTTGGAGGAGATCATCGCCGGGCGAATGTACACGGGGCCGATGTACGAGAAGTATAACGGCGTCCTCCGCTTCTTCTCAGCGCGCGGCGCCGACGGTGCTGTGCTGCTGGAGTACGCCTCGATGGAGCAGGTGCCCTTTCTGCAGAAGAAGTGCGGCACGCTTCACCTCGGCGAGTGGGCTGCGACGGCGGCAGGCAAAGGCGAGGCCGCGGTGCGCTGGACGTGGCACAACCAGTACTCGACCACCATCCACGCGATCAACTCGATCATCGTCAAGCTGTCGCCGCTGACGAGGATCACGCCGCTCTACCGCGGCTGGACGGGCGCCACGCTCCCGCAAGCCTTCTTCAAGCCGGACGCGCTCGGCTTTCGCGGCGGCGTCGAGTACGGCTTCTCGTCGACCACCACCGACCGCGCGCAGGCAGTGCACTACGCGGCGGGCAAGGCGTCGACGGTGCTCGAGCTCGTGATGGGCATGATCGACCGCGGCGCCGACATCTCGTGGCTCTCGCAGTACCCGCACGAAAAGGAGACGCTGCTGCCGCCGCTCATGGGCCTGCAGGTGCGTCAACCATCCGACCTCCCTCCCCCGCTCTTCTCCTCCATCGCCTCCTTCCTCTTCTCGATACCTGCAGGTGCGTTCGACGGGAGTGGAGGGCAGCACGCTCGTCGTCCAGTGCAGCTTCTCCATCAACATGGCCTCGCTCACGCTCGAGCAGGTGGCGGGCAAGCGCAAGAAGCTGCTCACCGACATGGGCGCGCAGATGGCGGCCGAGGTGCGCCGGGGGTTGGCGGAGGAGGCAGCGGAGGAGGCGTCGCAACTTGTGCGCGTCCGACTCGGCCTCGAGCGATGCGCGGACGCTGGAGGCGCGGCGGACGAGCGGCTCGAGGCGCCGCTCGGCGACGAGGCTGAGGCGTACAACGATGACGTGCGCTTCCAAGCGGCGGTGGGCGACGCCCTCAAGGTGAAGCGCGCGGCGGTGCTCGCGGCGACGGTGCAGCACGGCGGCGGCGGGCTTGCCGCGGCGATGGATACGGTATTGCCGCTGCAGGCCAGCCGCGTCGATTTGACGGGGTTCGGCCTTGGCGGCGAGACCAGATACATCAAGGCGAGCGAGGTCGAGGGCGAGTCCACGGAGGTCGGGGCTAAGGTGATTTACCAGGGGCGCGAGAGGGTCGTGAGCACGGGCGTGGACTCCGACGGCGACCTGAAGCTGGTCGATGGCGAAATGGTGGGAACGGTGGTCGCGTGGATGGAGTCGGAGCCGTCGGCGCTGACGTCGCTGACGCTTGACTGGGGCAAGGCGTGCCGCCGCGTGCAGGAGGCGGTGCTCGACGTGGTGCGGACGACGCGCACGCTCGTCGCGCTGAGTGTGGGCGAGGAGGGGGCGATGCCGCTCAACCCGCTGCAGCTCAATGGGCGGGAGGCGGTGACGTCGCTCGATTTGAAGGACAAGGAACTCGGACCCGGATCGGCTGCCGTCATTGCGGCGGGTCTCTCGGTCAATGAGGTGCTGACCTCCTTGGATGTGCGCGGCAACAAGATCGGCTCCACCGGCGCGGCCGCGATCGCCGAGGCGCTGCAGGGCAACGGGGTGCTGACCAATCTCGACCTCTATCGCAACAACATCGGCGACGAGGGCGCCAAGGCGATCGGCGGCGCTCTCGCGGTCAACGGGGTGCTGACCAAGCTGAACCTCGAGGGCCACGAGCTCGACCTGCCAAAGCTTCGCGGCACCGACCCGGTCACATCCCTCAACTTCTCGCGCAAGGACCTCGGACCCGCCTCGGCCATCGTGATCGCTTCGCTGATTGCGGGCAACGGGGTATTGACCTCCTTGGATGTGGGCGACAACACGATACGGGGTTTTGACAGCCTCACCGGAGAGGCGGCCCTCGGCATCGTGCGCGTCGAGCGGCAGCGCAACAAACTCACCTCGCTGGGCTTGGGTCGCTGCGGCATCGGCCCGACTGGCGCCGCAGAGATCGCCGAGTACGTGGCGGGCAGCGGGGTATTGACCGAGCTCGACCTCTCCCGCAACGACATCAACGACGAGGGCGCCGCTGCGCTGGCCTCCGCTCTGCGCGTCAACGGGGTGTTGACCACCATCGACCTGACCCGCAACGGCATCCTCCGTGAGGGCGGCGTCGCGATCGGCAACGCGCTCGCCGTCAATGAGGTGCTGAACACCCTCAACCTCTCCGACAACGGCATCGGCGCCCCGGGCGCCAAGGCGATCGGCGAGGCGCTCGCGGTCAATGGGGTGCTGACCGACCTGAACCTATTGGGCAACAACATCGGCGGCGAGACCGGCTACATCAAGGCGAGCGAGGTCGAGGGCGAGTCCAAGGAGGTCGGAGCTAAGGTGATCTACAAGGGGTGCGAGATGGTCGTGAGCAAGGGCGTGGACTCTGACGGCGACCTGAAGCTGGTCGATGCAGTGCAGACGGGCGTACTCGCGATCGCCAAGGCCCTCGAGGTCAACGAGGTGCTGACCGAGCTCGACCTCTCCCGCAACGACATCGACGACGCGGGCGCCGTGGCGCTGGCCTCCGCTCTGCGCGTCAACGGGGTGCTGAAAGATCTCGACATCAGCAGCGACCAGATCGGCGACGAGGGCGCCGCCGCGATCGCCGAGGCGCTGCGCGGCAACGAGGTGCTGGAAGCGCTTAACCTCAGCAAAAATCGCATCAGTGACGCCGGCGCTGCGATCGCCGAGGCACTGCGGGGCAACGAGGTGCTGACCACCCTCAACCTCGACGGCAACGAGATACGCGACGAGGGGGTGATGGCGATTCGACATGCGGTGAGCGAGCGGGCGGGGTTTAAACTTGTGCTTCGAGACTCTCGTGAGAGGGAGGTGGATGAGGAGAGGCATAGGGAGGAACAAGCGGAATATGAACGCATGATGTGGTGTACCTAAACCTGTGTTAAGTTGCCAGTCTGCCAGTCCAAGGAAGGTGTGTTGCTAGCCGTCGCCCACCCTTGGCGTCTGCCTCTTCCTACCTCTCTTCGCAGTCCCTCGCCGATTCTCGCTGCGACCTTTATGCCACCTCGCGGTCGTCCCACTCTCGTCGTTCTCTCTCTTGTCGCTTCTTCCTCTGAGCTCTGTCTGTCGCGTCGCTCTCCTCTGCCTCGTCACATCTGCAGCACATGATCGTAATTCACTTGGAGCACTTGGAGTGCAGTCACAGGCTTGATACTGATCTCTGAGGACTCTGCACGAGACCGTGTTTCCGCCCTGAGGCTGGGGTATGAGCCATGCAGGCGCTCGCCGTGGCGCAGAAGCCCAGATGGTCATGAGGGGGCCTTAATGAGAAGCATCAACTGTATCTTGGCACCGAGCGGCGGAGGATCGGCTCCCTCCTGTCTTGAGACCTCGAGCCTCCTCGAGAGTCGCCTCGACTAGGCACCGAGTGGCTCGAGCGGCTTGTCCTGTCGGAGATGGGCCACGGCGGAGTGGTCGTCGTCTCGCACGACCGCGAGGTGCCCGAGAGTCGACGAGATGCGCCGAGATGCGCCGAGGGGCCCGAGAGGAGCCGAGAGGAGCCGAGAGGAGCCGAGAATTGCCGAGATTCACCGAGGGGCGTCGTCTCGGCCGTGCAGGTGCTCGACCGCCTCTCGACGCACCTCCTGCACTCCGCGGGCGGCCACGGGGAGCTGTACGCAGGCGCATATCTCCCCACATCTCCCCGCATCTCCCCATATCTCCCCATACCTCGGCCACGGGGAGCTGTACGCAGGCTCGTACTCCACTGACTTCAGCTGCATTCGACCGCACTCAGTTGTATGCGCTGCACATGCACGCGGCGCTCTGATGACGTCGGCGTGTATTCACCGTGCAGGCTCGTACTCGGACTTTCTGCGCCGCGCCGCGCTGCAGCGCGAGGCCATGGAGCAGCTGGAGAGCGACGCCTCGCCGGCTGGCGAGGAGGAGGGAGGAGCGCTCTCCCAAATGACTTGTCCGTGACTCACGTCCACATCTGACACATCATCCTTCCTCTCATCTCTACGCACCACTCACCCTCGTCATCCTCATTCACGCTACTCACACCGCACGCAGACTCTCCTTACCTCCACCTCTAGGCGTCTTACCTCCGCCTCTCCCCGACACCCTCCGCCCGTCGCGCTTCCAACTGCTGACGGCGGCGACGCCAACGGCGCGGCCCAAATCTCGGCACTGCCCCTGCCAGTCCTCGGCCCCTCGCGATCTCGCGCGATCTCGGGTAATCTCGGTTCATCTCGGCCCGTGCCGCTCGCGCGCCGAATCTCCGAGTCTCTTGAGCGACATCCCGCATCCTCTCTGAGATCCAGGCCCCTCTAGCCGCAATCGAAGGAATGCGCTCAAGATGCCCCGCGCAAGTCATGGTTCGAAAACCAGGCGAGGCGCGCCAAGCGTGCGCGGCGAGGCGCCGCGGCGGCGGCGGGCACGGACGCGATGCTCGCGCTTCGAGGCGCGTCGCTGTCCTTTGAAGCCGCGCCGGAGGGGCGCGGCGCTGGAGGCGCTGCGGGCGGCGCTGGAGGCGGCGCTGCGGGCGGCAGCACGGGAGGCGGCGCTGGAGGCGGCGCTGCGGGCGGCGCTGGAGGAGGCGCTGGAGGCGGCGCTGCGGGAGCCGGCGCTGGAGGCAGCGGATCGCGCGCCTCGAGGTGAGCTCTTGGCTGAGCTGGCTACAGAAAACATCGCAGCCATCTTGGGAAAGATGGCTGGGGGACAGCCATTTCAGCCATTTCAGCCATCTACTATGGCTGCGTCATAGAGATGGCAGCCATCCTCCAGAGCATGGCTGGTGGTAAATGGCAGCCGTCCCGCGAGGCCGGGGGGCGACAAGCGCGCAGCCATTTGTGCGTGTGGCGGGGGAGGCGGACGGCTGCCATCGAATTATCACCAGCCATGCTCCGGAGGATGGCTGCACTGACTGTGCCCCAGCCATATTAGATGGCTGAAATAGCTGTCCCCACAGCCATCTTACCCAAGATGGCTGCGATGTAGCCAGCTAAGCCAAGAGGGCTCACCTCTCGAGGCGGGCGGTATGGCTGCGGTAGTGCGTCTCCAGCCATGTCTACTAAGGATGGCTGCCATGTGTGTGTTGCAGCCATTACACTGGAGGATGTGGCTGCACTGTGTGTGTGTGTGTGACCCACTGAGAACTCAGTGGTTGTCACCACTTTGTATGCTTTTAATATTAACCTTGCGAACTCGTCCCCCCCGGCAGGGCTATGCAACTGTGACCAGTGTGTGCTGTCTACGCCTGAACCAGGTGTCAAATCTGCCGATGCGTGACCTGTGCGTGGGCTGCTCTGTGAAGAGTCCAGGCGTAGTCCGACGGGTAGGGGGTCTGTGCCCGGGCGGTGTCCGGTGCGGAGTCTCTCTCTGATCCCGCCTGGGATGTTGGGTGCGAGGTGTGGCGGCTTCGATCCCAAGGGGGGGAGCTGATCCCACTCGGTAACCAACTCTCAGGGGCAGTAGGTGGGCGAGCTTCAAGCGAGCTCATCTCGATCGTCAAGGCGTCGCTACGCGCGGTCTTCCGCGGGGGGAGCTTCGTCGACGGGTGCGGGACTGCGGCGCAGACAGTGCTGCGGCGATGCCTCCGGCTGCTGCGGCGAGTGGTGTGCTGCTCGCTGCGATGGCGAAAAACTCGTCTCGTCGCACACCAAGGGCTTACGCTCTGTCGAGACGTGAGGCGTATGCACCCAGGAGGGGAGGGCGCATGCGTAACGACGCTGCTAGAGATGCCTTTCGGGGCCCAGAGATAAAACTTCTGATGCCATGCGTGACCTAGTAGTGTCCCCAGCTATGGGCGTGTCCATGTTGCTTGTTGGAGCCAGGTGTGGTGTGGACGCGAGAATAGCTCCGCCGTTCATGGAGGCAACCGATGCGAGTCGACTGGTGTGTGTCGTCGTGGTTTCGTATCAAGAATACTCACTCACTCACTGGCTGGCTGCACTGCAGACAAAAGAAGGTTCAGCGACACTCAATACCCGGGTATCCTACCCTGGTAAGCGGAAGCAATTCCCCCCACGCGCTGTGGAACCTGCGGGCGCGAGGCACAGCGCAGGCCACAACAACCCGGATACCTCCGCCGCAGGCCAGCGGCCCTGCCCCGTCCACCACACGCCACCGCACGCGCACAGGTGCAGCGCCAGTCTCATGCAGACGCAGTACGGCGGCCGCGGAGGAGGGCACAGCGCCGTCCGCCCGGACGTGTGCGAGCGGACGCCGGGCTGCACGCGGGGATACAAGCACGGTGGCGCCGGTGGCCGCTGCAGCTTTAGCGCGCCGCCAGGGGAAAGAAGGCCGCCCGCCTCCTCCTCCTCCGAGGGTGGTGCGGCGCCACCGCGGCGCAAAAAGAATGCGCCGACGGGCAAGCGGAAGGTCGCCAAGCACCTGCTCGCGGCGCAGGCGGCGGCCGTGGCCGAGCGCGAGGGAGCGGCAGCCGTCGCGGTTCCGCGCCCGAAGAAGCGCCGGTCGGGATCGCGGAAGAAGCGCCTTGCGAGCGGCGCAGCAGGTGCGGACCTTTCCGAGATCTTCCATCGCCCTCGCTGCTCCCGCGTGGCAGACGGATGCCAGAGCCTCGCTACACGCCGCTCAGACCCTCTGTTCCTGCCGCCGCGGCCGCGCCCTCGGCGCCCACCCAACTGTGGTACCTGTCGTCTGCGGAGTGTGGTCTGCGGAGGCGGGGGCGGGGTGCCGTCCTCACACTTGCCGTTAGCTGCCCCCTGGCCGCTGCCTCCTCCTCCCTGCCGCCTCACTCCCCGCTCCTCCCCCACTCCTCCACATCGCTCCCGCCGCTTCCCGCCGCGCGGGCGGCACCAGCAGCACTGTGGGCGAGGTGGCAGTCCCGCTGGCCCGCGGGTGGTCAGCAGCCGCGCTTCTCCCGTGCAGGCGGCGACGGCGCGCAGCCCTCGCAAGGATCGGCGCGGCTCGACTTCGTCGCGGCGATCTCCGACGAAGCCAGAGGCCTGCCGGCCGCGAGATGGCCAAAGATGGCCCGAGATGACCCGAGAGTAGGCGATCTCCGACGAGCCAGACGCCGCGACCGACGGCGGCGAGGAGGGCGTGCCGCGGCGGGAGCTGCTGGCGTTCCGAGTGCTCGAGGCGCAGGCAGAGCGGGCCAAGGGCGCAGGCGGCCCTCCCTAGACGCCGAGCCGCGGAGCGCCTTGTCTCTCCCGCCAAGCACTGAGCCTTGTCTCTCCCGCCAAGCACCCGCCCGGCTGCACTTGGAGATTGGCCTACCCGAGATCACACGAGGTCACACGAGGTCACCCGAGATCACCCGAGATCACCCGAGATCACCCGAGATCACCCGAGACCCACACGCGGGACACGTCTCGGACAGAGACATGTCCGAGACATGTCCGAGACATGTCCGAGACATGTCCACAGCCTGTGTAGCAGCCTGCGCACCCACCCGACGCCCAGAAGGCAGCGCGCGAGCCCGCGGACCCCGCCGCCAGCGCCTCGCATCTCCCTGCTCAAGGACATGTCTGCGACATGCCTGCGACATGTCTGCGACATGTCTGCGACATGTCTCGCTCGCATGTCTCCAGGCGGCGCGCAGCTCACTTCCCTGCTGCCGGCGTCGCTGCTCGCCGCGTCGTCCGACAGTTGTCTCGCCGCGGAGAGGCTGCGTTCCCTGCTCGTCGAAGGCGCGCCTCTCCCATATCTCCCCCTATCTCCCCCTATCTCCCCCCTATCTCCCCCATATCTCGTCGAAAGCGTGCCTCCCCCCAGCGCGCCGCCCGCCTCTCCCCGCCCTCCTCTCCTCTCCCGCGCGACCAGTGCTGCCGAGGCCGCCCCCCTCCCGCTGCTGCCCTCGCACCCCTGCGCCTCGCGCCGCGCCGCAGGCTTGCTTCGAGACGCAGCCGGCGAACTCGTCCGGATCCGGTTCACACCGCTGGAGGCGGGCCCGCCCGCCTCTGCCGCTCCGACGGTGTGAACGGCGTCTCTTCACACCTCCCGCTGTGAACAGGCGTCCGCCCGCCTCTGCCGCTCCGACTCCACCGCCGCGGAGGAGGGCAGCGGACTGGCCGGAGCAGAGGCGGGCGATGGCGACGGGGACGGTCTCAGTGACCTCGAGGTGGGCACACACACACACACACACACACACACACACACACACACACACACACACACACAC